ACAAAGACAATACAAGAAAAAAAAAGCTAAAAACCCCTTTCTTTCACTATCAGGCACAAAAATCCTCAATAAAATAGTAGCAAATAGAATTCTCAATCTATAAAAAGAATAATACATTGTGACCAAGAGGGCTTTATTCTGGAAATGTAAAACTGGTCCAGTCTCTGATTATCAGTCACTGTTAACAGTCTAAGGAAGAAAACTGCATAATCACATCCATTGGTGCAGGAAAAGCACTTGACAAAATTTAAAATCCACTCATGATAAATACTCACAGGGATAAAGGCATCTATCTATCTGTATCTATATCTGTCTATCCATAAAATAACCTAAAGTTAACATCATACTCATTGTGCTTTCCTTAAGATTAAAGACAGGGAAGGATGCCCACACTTACCAGTCTGTTCAACACCGCACTGGAAGTCCTGTGCAGTGTGAAAAGGAAAGAAAAAGAACAAAGGGGCGGGGGGGGGAGGGGGTACAGGTGTAGAATACGAAAAGGAAAACATAGAATTGTTCCTGTCTACATAATTATCTATGTAGAAAATCCTAACAGAACTTCAAAAACTCCTAGAGCTGTAAAGTGAATTTAGCAAAGTCACAGAATCCAAGATCAATGCCACAAAAAGGTCTTATTTTTATAGATTACACATGTACAATTAGAAATCAAAATTTGAAAGATAATGCCATTTATAATGGCTCTAAAAATAGATAAGCATAAATCTAACAAAACATGTACAGAATCGGTATACTGAAAATTATGAAATTATGATGAAAAAAATCAAAGAAGACCTAACTAAATAAAATACATAACACATTCACTGAATGCAAGACTCAGTATAGTAAAGATGACAATTCCACCCAAACTGATTAATGATTTAATGTAATTCTAATCTAAGTCTCGAGAAGATTTATCGATTGAGACAAGCTGAATCTCAAATTTGTGTGTATATATATATAAACATAAATTAGAAAAGTTAAAAGTTTTTTTTTTAAAAGAGCACAAAATAAGAATCACACCAACTGCTTTTAAGGCTTATTTTAAAGCTAAATTAATCAAGAGAGCATAGTGTTAGTAAAGGCACAGTCACACAGAACAATGAAACAGAGAGTCCAAAAATAGACCCCCACAAAGTATGGTCAATTAATTTTGACAACGATGCAAAACCAATGCAATGGAGAAGCGATAGTCTTTTTACTGTCAGGCTGGCTGGTTAGCTCACATGGGAGAGCATGATGCTGGTAACACCAAGGTCAAGGGTTCAGATCCCTACACTGTCCAGCTACCAAAAACAAACAAACAAACAAAATGTGAGGCCAGTTTCACTAACTGTCTTAAGAACTGGATGCCCATATGCAAAATAATGAACTTTAATCAAAACCTCACACATCATTAAGAAATTTAACAGATTGCAGAACCCATACATCTGTGGCCAACTGATTGTTTACAAAGGTGTCCAAGATTAATCAGTGAGTAAAAGACAGTCTCTGTAGTACATGGTGCTGGGACAACTGGATATTTACATGTAAAAGAATGGAGTTGGACCCCTTCCTCATATTATATAGAAAAATTAACTCAAAGAGGATCAATAACCTAAATACAAGAGCTAAAAGTATAAAAACTCTTAGAGGAAAACATACAGGTAAATTGTTCATGACTCTAGATTTGGCAATGGATTCTTAGATATGACAGCAAAAGCATGAGCAATGGAAGAAAAATAGATACACTATACTTTATCAAAGTTAACAACTTTAGTGTTAAAGCACATCACAGAGAAAGTAAAAAGACAACCTACAGAATGGGAGAATATATTTGTAAATCATATACCTAAGGGTCTAGTATCCAGAATATATAAAGAACTCTTACGACTAAATGACAAAAAGACAAACAACCTACTTGAAGAAGTATCTATTCAAGTTCTTGCCATTTTTAAAGAAGATATTCAAATGACCAACAAGCACATGAAAAGATGCTCAACATCATTAATAATTAGGTAAATGCAAATCAAAACCACAAGGAGATACCACTTCGCATCTACTAAGATTGCTATAATCAAAAATTGGAAAATTACAAGTGTTGACAAGTATGTGGAAAAGCTGCAGCCCTCACACATTGCTGGTGGAAATGTAAAACAGTACAGCTTCTGCGAAAAGCAGTTTGGCAGTTTCTCAGAAAGTTAAACACAGTAACAATATGACTCAGCAATTCCACTCCTAAGTATGTACCCAAAAGAACTGAACACAGGGACCAAGCAAACACACATGCATGCATGTTCACAGCAACACTATTCGAAACAGCCAAAGGGTCAAAGCAGTCCAAATATCTGTGAACGGATGAATGGATAATCAACTGCAGTGTGTCCATATGATGGAAATTATACAGCCATAAAAATGATCAAAGTACTAATACATGCCATAGCATGGAACCTCAAAAACCTCATGCTAAGTGAAAGAAACAGACACAAAAGTCACATATTGTATTACTCCATTGCATGAAATATCCAGAGTAGGTAAATCCATAGAGTCAGAAAGCACACTGGCACTTGCCAGGGGCTGGGGGAGGGGAGAATGAGGAGTCTGCTGCATGGGCGTGGGGTTTTGGTGTGATGAAATGTCTTGGAAGCAGATGCACGACACTGCAAATGTTCTAAATGCCACAGAATCATTCACTGCAAAATGGTGAATTTTATGTCATGTGGATTTCATCAATTAAAAAAAATCTAAAAATGGGTTACAAATCTAAATGTAGTAAGAAAAACCATAAGTTTTACAAGAAAACATAGGAGAAAATCTTAGTGACATAAGGTTAATCAAAGAGTTCTTAAATGTGATAGCAAAAGCATGTCCCATAGAAGAAAACAAAAATTGATAATTGCATGTTATCAAAATTAGCTCAGTGAAAGACACCATGAAGAGGATGAATTTGCAAATCACATATCCAAAGAAAGGATTTGTAATCAGGGTATATAAAACGAACCTTCAAAACTCGAAAGTATGAAAATATGCAACCCAATTTACAAAATGAGCAAAGACTTAACAGACACTTTTTAAAAAGGATACCATGGGCCAGCCCGGTGGCGCACTGGATGGTGCGCCGCTTGGGAAGCGCGGCGGCGCTCCTGCCTGAGGGTTCGGATCCCACATACAGACCGGTTCCCGCTCACTGGCTGAGCGAGGCACGGGAGCAACGCCGAGGGTTGCGATCCCGTTGCCGGTCCCCGGTCCGGTACGGGGGCAACACTGAGGGTTGCGATCCATTGCCGGACACGGAAAAAGACAAAAGACAAAAAAAAAAAAAAAGGATACCATGATGGCCAGAAAATGCATAAAAGAAAGTTCAACAACATTAACTATTAGAAAAATGCAAATTAAATCCGTAGTTAAATGCCACTTTATACTTATTAGAAGACTAAAATAAAAAACACTGATAATACCAAATGCTGGTGAGGATATGGAGCAACCAGAGATCTCAGTGTTGCTGGCAGAAACGCAAAATGGTACAACCACTCTAGAAAACAGTTCGGCAGTCTCTTACAATGCTAAACATAAAGCTACCATATGACACAGCAATCCTCATCCTGGGTATTTACCCTCATGTTCACACAAGAACTGGAACACATAAAACTTATGTTCACACAAGAACGGGAACACAAATGCTGCATCTCTATTCATAATCAGCAAATTCTGGAAAAACTCAAATATCTTTCCACGGGTGAATAAATAAAGCGTGGTGCCTCTATAAAACGTAATCCAACTGAGCAATAAAAAGGAATAAACTACTGATACACACAACTACTTGGATGGATGTCAGATGCATTGTGCCGAGTGAAAGAAAACAGTCTCAGAGGTTACACACTATTGAAGAGACAAACTATCGCAGTGGAGAGAAGCCCAGGGCTTGATTGCCAGGTTAGGGTGTGTGAGAAAGTCGGCACACAGAAAGAGCTTGAAGGGGTTCTCTGGGGTGATGAAACTGCTCTGTGTGCTAATTTGGTTATGGTTACATGAACCTATACATATGACACAATTTATAGAACTGTCCTTCAAAATAAATCAATTTTAATGTAAGGTAATTTTAAAAAAACATAAAAACTGCTTTTAGAATAACAGCTATCAAAGGCATGAAAAGTTGAGTCTGGTGTCATAGCATCTTCTTTGTGCTTTCCTGTGTATAGCAAGTGTGCATAATAGATAGTAACATATGATAAGTCAGTTTTATACATAGAAACAAAATGCTCTAAATAGACTACCATATGGGGGGCTTTAATTTTCTCAGTAACTTCAATAGAAACCAAGCATAATGGTTTTAATTGTCTTCTCTACTACCCTATATATTAAGAAAAGCAAAAGAACTCCTTCCATCAGGTTTGTCAAAAGTGGGAAGGAAGTGACCGGAACTGGACCTCGACTGCTGCCTCCTGGCTGAGCGCCGTGCTGCAGCGTCCGCGGACCACCCTCTGTCATCCTGGGTACAGCTCTGCTAGGAGAGTTAACCGAGAGCATTTCAGTGTTTAGAGCCTTTCCTTGAGTATTCAGTAACATACTGATCCTCCACACTGATCCATATTTTGATCAAGTTTAAACTGAAGCTTAAATCATTAGGGAAAAGAAATCTTCCACCTTATTTCTTTACAACTTCAAGTAAAACTTGGAATCCATGCCCCCGCTCCACTCCTATCTGCTGCGTGACTGTAATTTCAGTTCTAACTCCAAAGGATTAACTTTTCACGGCTGGAGGTGTGTCCTACGCATCTCTGTCTACCTTGTGTCTGAGCAGTACCTGGAAGAGGTAAGCCCTTGGTGTGCGTATAGTGAACGAACGGATGAGCAGAGGGGACGGCTGTGTGGCTGGATGGATGGAAGGAAGGAAGGGAGGGACTGACTGAGGTGGGAAGGAGGGAGAGAGAGAGAAGACCCATCTTTTTGTCTTTGCGGCAATCACTGTAATTTACCCCCAGTCTCTGACTCTCATTTGGAAGAAGTGCAGAATAAAAATGATCTACGGTATGCAAAGCTTACAATTTATTAGCAGCTTTTGCAGTAACTTTTCTTTTAATGCTTCTGTGGCAATACTAGCAACAAATTAATAAAAGCTTAATTTTTATACAAATAGTTTTATTACAAATTTGAATTCTTAAGAAATACACATTTAAAGAAATTACATAAAAGGCCTTAGTAGTCTTAAAAACGTTTTGGAGACTTTTAGTGAATTGTCACTTCAGGCATAGCGGTCCAAATCTGCCCTCCTGCGGTCCACGCATTACCCTGCTGAAGTTTGTGATCACAGCTCATGAGAAACCAGGAAGTGGCCTGAATGTGCTTACATGTAAAAATACTGATATTTTGATTCAACAGAGCTGTTTTCAAGCCAGGATGCAGAAGGAGGAAAACTAATGAAATGAAGGCCTTTAAGGTTGTTGCTTTTAAAGTCAAGTCATTCAGTTTGTGATTAGTGTTTAAAACCCTGAAAATATGTAATACAGAATAAAAACAGTAAGCTTAAAGTACATGTTTCATTGTAATAGACACCATATTCGTGAACCTGGGTTTGGCTTTGGCAATACATAATTTTTGGTTTGGAAGTGAACGATGAAAACTGATGTTTCACATTCAATATCCTAGTGTTTAAAACCCTATGTTAAAGGACAGCACAGCCTTGTAAAGGAAGAAAACTATGGAGCTTTATTTTAACGGTGGAAGTTAAACTAAAACTTGATCTAATTGCTGACATCTATATAAATTACTAAAATATACATATTTAATTTCTGACTACTTTTGGACCATCTTTATTCCACAGGAAAGTTGTGATTTCTGCAAAAGCAGCTGCGTAGTACCACACATAGCAGAAAGACATCACTTTATATTTGGGGTTGGAAGGGATGGCTACCGAGTCTGTAATTCCATTTGGAGGTTCAGAAAAACCATTTTTTACATTGCTATTATTTGTGCAGACTGTGGGGCCTGAATTTTGAAACAGCTGGACAGTGCGATAACACACGTTTATCTCCGGGGTGAAAAACCAATCTGTATCACACAGGAATGAAGACGGCAGCAGTGGGAAGGCGCTGCAGACCTCCTAGCACCTTTGGTTTTCTGATGGCGTTCTCACTTCACACATCAGTGCATTGGTTGTAGACTAGACTTACGTTTCATTTCATCAAAAGTGCCACGTGGTATGCCACTATCAAAAGCTTATCGTTGTCTTTTTTTCTCCTTCAGCAAATAGAGGCCAACGAAGCAGGGTGTGTTAGTTACGCAAGTTCCTATAAGGCACTTTATGGTTTTCATATTGGACAGTGAGGTACACAGGATATATTTCTAGGGTTCGTTGCTGTTAAAAGTAAAGAAGAAGTAGCACCATGTTGTGACGTCAGCTGAGAGCCGGCTTCCTTATGTCCTTCTCATACACACTTGGCAGCGGCTGACGTGCGTGCGCAGCTCCCCTGCCTTCAAGGTGGACGGCGTGGGCTTCCTAAAATGCAACACAGACGAACCATCGGTGTCAGAAATGCAGGCAGGGTGCTCAGCCCTCCTGCCCTGCTCAGAAATCTCTCGGGGATCAGACAGGCACCTGCCATCAGGGCCCCACCGGATAACATGGGTGACCGTGACCCGCCCTCACTGCGAGCAGGCACGTGCTGCAGTGCGTGTGGCTCTGTAGCGCATGGAACACCACAGGATATCACCTGCACCTCCAATCTGTGGCACCGGGGGTCAATGACCTGCCAGGTGCACACAGCTAATTGGGGCACAGCTGAAGTCTCCCCACATCTGTCTGGCTCCAAATTGTGAACTGTTTCCCACCCTGCCACTCTGCCTCCTTGAGCTATAATTTAACTTTTTGTCTTTTTCCTCGACTAACTTATAAACTCCTCCAGGGAAAGAAGATGTTACTCTTCTCTGCAACACTTTACATACTTACTAAGAGTTCATTAAACAGTTGTCGAATGATGTCATGAGTAACAAAGCTGGAATAATTACTAGACTTAAAAATGCTTTTATAACTTTTCAGAGATTTACATGCAGATGGTCTGGTTTAAGGCCAAAGAGAAGGGAAGACGTCTAGTTTCCCCAAACCTTCCTGATCCTGGAGACAATACACTATTTTGACTGTTGGAAAGGTGAAATCTGAACTAAAATTGGCACTAATAAAGTTCTATTAAAATTAAAATAGCTGTATATAAGAGTATCCTGTCCTAAAATTGAAGCTGCTTATTTTAGCTACTTTTGGTGCAAATTCTAGGCACCCCTCCCCCAAATTATTTACATTACTGGGATTTTAATTTTATTTGAGAAGGCATTTTAGTTCATTGTATCAGGCTGCTGGTTCAAGAAAACCCCATCACCACCTATTAACCCTATAATGGGAAGCCCCAGCAACCAAGACATGAACAAAGTGACCTCATTTTGGCAGTTAATGGTTAAATTCTATCTGCAGAGTTGATGCCAAGTTTCCAGATACCTAAAAAGCCTCGCACGAGCCACCAAGGAGACACGTGGTATTTTTTCGGTGCTTAAAGAATTACGAGGAGTGAGTATGCTGTCTCGCTTCTTATGACCTAAGCTGGAAAAGGACAGGGTCACAGCAGAGTTCCGTATCGTTCCCGCTGAACAGGTAAAGACGGAAAGGCTTATCTCCAGGCATGAGAGCATTTATATGCGGAATGAACAGTAAGTAACTGTTCAAGCTCCATCGGCCTCCTGCATCTGCTCCAGCAGCAGCCACAGCTGGTCCCCAGTCCAGGACAGAGGGTTCATTATGCCCCCCTGTCCATCAGGAACTGGGCCCGCATCCAAGCTGACTTCAGCACGGTCAGCAGTCACTTGCAACAGCTGTTTTAAAGGTGGAATTTTGGTAATGGAAAAGGAAGGAAAGGTCTTCCCTATCAATTTCAGCTGCATTTGTGCTGAATTTAATTCGCCCACAACTCACACACGATGTATGTGAAACTCAGCATTACAAACGCCGTGAGACTGGACACTTCAACTTTCCTCTCTCGGTGGTTGTTAAATAGACAATATTTTCGACATGCTCTTTTTGTTCAGTTGCTTTAATCACATTTTAGCTCATTCACCTTTTGGAAAAGGGAAAATGACCTTTTCCTTTCACGTTTCTTCAGTAAATGGAGGAATTCAAGCTATTACCTGAGGTCTGCCTTTGGAAATCGTCTTGGTTATCTGCCCATGCAGAGCAGAATCAGATATTCATTGCTATGTGGGGAAAACATTCCTAATGATTGCTTCATGCCCGTCTTTGAGACTCTGCACTGGAAGGTATTATGGATCATGGAAGCTTAAAAATAAAGCCACCATGGGGGCCAGCGCCCCACAGGAGAGTTGCCCCAACTTACTTGAACATCTCGCTTCTCTCTATAGTGGCAAGCCAAAAGCTGTAAGCGTTTGCATAGTAGTTGCAAGTCCCACGGCCATGGCACTCGATGAATGGTGCGCTTCTAAACTCCTCCAGACAGGACCCGGGGGACGCCAGGGCTTGGCCAGAACCTTCGGCACCAGCGCTCGTGTGCTGTGGGACAAATGTACGCCGTGAGTCAGAGATTCCCTCCCCAAAGACCAAGCGCAAGACTGATTTTTCCCAGGCAGGAGCCAGGGTGTTCCCTCTGGAAAGCTGCATGCTCTGGTCTCACACAGTCACCATGGAACACACGCTGTGCCCAAACACCCATGGTGGCTGGCAAGCCAGCTGGGCTTCATGGGCTGTGGTGGGGCGGTACTCCGCACAGCGCCAGACATCAGCCAACAGCTCCTCCCCAAATGGGAGATGACCGGCTTCATTACAATTTACAGTAATGCTGTCCTTGCTACGTCTTATTTTTTAAACACTAAAAGCTATTGTAACTTGAGGCCTGAAACAGTGGCCAAAATATGCAAATAATGTTGCAACCAGCAAATGTAAATCAGACTTTGGAACAAACTCCTATATACACTGTGTCAGATGCTATCTATCCCATTATAAGCTAAAGAATTATCAGCCAAGTTCCTTAATTTTAAAAGAGAGAAAACAAACAAGAGGAAGAGAAGAAAAGAATCTCTACTACTATAACTGTTTATTAAATTGCATTTTGGCCTAGCAGGTTTGAGAAGGAGCTATGTGTACTCAAAAACCAAGACTTTAAAACAAAAGACCTATAAGCTCGAGTAAGACACTACAAAATATTCCCGTGACTAGCACTTCAGAGACCAGAAGTGTGAGCTCTAGAATTTCAGAGTGGCAGGGGACCTTGGAGGACATGGCTAACTCTACCAATTCCCAGATGAGCATGTGAGGACCCCAGGACATTCTGGCATGTGACCATGGTCACACAATTTCAAGGCAAAGCTCTGACAAGAACAGGGGTCTCCAGACCTCCAGTCCGGGGCCGCCTCCCTCACATCTTAGAAGTACTGATGTAGCTCAGACCTCCAGTCCGGAGCCGCCTCCCTCACATCTTAGAAGTACTGATGTCGCTCAGACCTCCAGTCCGGAGCCGCCTCCCTCACATCTTAGAAGTACTGATGTAGCTCAGACCTCCAGTCCGGAGCCGCCTCCCTCACATCTTAGAAGTACTGATGTCGCTGTCCTGTAGACCCCATCGTTTTTCTCTGTGCTTGAATTTGAGAAATATGGGCAGTCGTTTCAGATCTTTCTATGGACCATGCTGAAGACAGATTTGGTGACATGATACTTTCCTGCAGCTCCTCACCCTGCAGGTCCCTGCGCTTTCTCCAGCATACAGATATTCCTTCTAGTCAAGCAATCCAATCATCTTCCTTCTAAGGAAAACTGCATGTTTATGGCACTGTTAGCATCTGGATTTCCCTATACGGCAATTCCCAACCTCTCTAGCTCTCTTAATGAAGTAGTTACAAAGCAGCACCTAGAATCATGGAAACAACTGTTAATTGGTTGTGGTGGTTGTTGCAAACTCTTCGGACATGTAAAAGAGTATAACTGCAAATGCAATCAACTCAGCAGTCATACTATCCAACTCAAATACATACACAAAAATTTTAAAATTGCTTTCCTGTCAACTTTTTCTACACTTGAAATAATTTTCAACCGAAGAAAATAGCTATGAAGCCCCTTTCCCTGTTAATCAAATAATAAGGCTAATGACATTTGTCGGTCAAATGTACAACTTGGCTGTGCCCAAGGGCGTGAAGATCGGACTGAGCCTTAGAAAGACAAGACAGAAGATGTTCATGTGGGATCGTTCACTGGGAGTTGGCAAATCCCAGGATAACCCTGACCATAAAGTTCAGGACTTGTATGCATTTAATCAGTACTTTCAGCAGAGGAAAGGGGATCAAATAAGCAGCAATTCTTAAGCAGGCACCACGTCTCCTCTTTTAATTGGTTTTTCAGAGGAAGGGGACCTCTGGAGGGGTCCAACATCTGGGGCGGAGGGGTGGCAGAAGAGTCCTTCTCCCAAGTGAAGGGTCCCAGGTGCTGACCCAGGAAGACCTTCCTGGAGGGCAACTGCCTGGCCAGTCCGCAGGTGCTCCCTCCTGAACTCAAGCTTTCTGCTGTCAAACATGTGCTCCCCACATGCAAGCTCCTCTCCCCTTTCCCTGAAAAGGCTTTGACTCTAGGACTCGAGCAAAGATAGTCAAGTTGCTGGTGGATGCTGCAGGGGCTGGAGGCCCAGGCTGCCCTTCCAGGAAGATGCTCATCCTGCTAAGGAGCTTCAGAGTGGAGGGGCCTCTGGCTGGTGCTGGGGACCCCCATGGTCCCCAAGCGGAGCAGGCCAGGCTCCTGGGCATGCTCTGAAAGGGGATGCTGAGAGGAGGAAGCAGAGGCCTAAGCAGCATGATCCACAGAACTTGGAGGTGTAGGACCATTGGGTGCGGGGGACAGTCGGGCTCTTCCAGAGACGTGGAGCTCACCGAACACTTACCATCACAAAGGAATAGCCGATCCACAGCGACGACCACCCGCTGGGGCACTGCGGGATCTGAATGGTCTGGCTGTGCACGGCCATCACCATGGCAGGAGCCTCGCACACCGCGCACCTGGGGAGGGGCAGAGACGCTCAGCACAGCGGACAGGACCCGCTCACCTGCTCCCTCCCAGGTCCGCACAGTCCCAGAGCCCCCCTTCCATCCGTCCTTATGCATGACATGGAGCACACTGTGCCTGCTGCTCAGGATTCTGAGGCTTGGAGCCTTCTTACTGGCTGCATAAGTTTTGGTATTAAAATGTTCAATACAAAAGTAGTTCCAGCACTTGTTATTAACCATCTGTTTTGCAGAGGGAAAAATGGGACGGCCAGCTTCCAACAGTGGCTCTCACAGAGGGGCTGGGCTCACTGGCGACTTTTGTTTTCCCCTTTGTGCATTTATGGGTTTTCTGATTTTTCTGCAGGGAGCACGTATTTCTACAAACACAATTAGTGCTTAAAAAGAATTGGTGAAATTCCAGAGCTTCCACTTCTGGAATGCAACAGTTTGTTTTAAGCTCTGAGCAATCTTTAATATACGAAATGCACTTAGTGACTGAGACAAATACCATGCGCTTTCCAGCACTGCAGCCTCCTTCAGGAAACCTGTTCCAGACTGACCTGCCCCAGGCTCAGGCATTCTAGGCCGGATGCTATCTGTGTGCACCTTAGCTGAAGTGACCCCGAAAGAATGCTCTCAAGGACAGGGCACTTCCCAAGCCAGGCTGGCTCAAGCTCATCCCCTAGGACTGCACCCAGGAATAAATAAAAACAACACCGTGTCTAAGACCCAGTCAATTAAGGGAACCCGTGATGGTGGGATAAAGATTTGTTAAAAAAAAAAAAAAAAAATTAAACACTAGCAATAGAATACTTACATTCAAGTTTCAAAATGAACAGAGTGTTAACAATGCTGATAAATGACTATAAACGGTGTTAATAATTATACCTAGTTATGTTGGAACATTTGCATGAAAATGTCTGAGAAGAAGGGACGGGCCTACATTAGTCACTGGATTTTCCGTGGACATGAGCGTGTGTGTAATTTCCTATTTTATTCACACAAATGCAGATGAATTAGAAGGTCCAGTTAAGCAGCAGTTACTGAAGCTGGCCTTGTATGTGTGTCTGCCAGACAACAGAAGCAGAAAGACAGCCTGCAGGGAGCTGCTTTGTCTTTTCCAGGCTGGCTCTGGGCCAGAGGGATTCAAGCGGCTCCAGAGAGTGCGGTTGCGCCCCGTCAGATGGGTGGCTAGGGAACACAGAGCCACGGGTTTAAAGAGCTGTACGGGACAGACGGGGAGGACAAGTGGTGAACTTATGGGGACAAAACTGCGCTATCTGCACTAAGTGAATCACTGTGCCACATATGCACATATTGAAACAACACACTGTACCCCACAAAAATAAATATAAATAAAATTGAATTTAAAGAATAAATGAAGAGCTGTATGGACCCTTGAAGTTCATGGAGTCTAACTCCTCATATATAAGGAAATTAGGGCCACGGTTAGTTGTGTCAAAGCCAGAGATAAAACTGGATTCTTGCTCTCGGACCAGTAATCTTTCTACAAGAGCAATTAGACAATCAGTGGTTTCATGATGACTCTTGTCTGCAGAAAGCTAGAAAGTGCTTAGAAAATGTAGCCCTACTTTCAGGATGCAAGCAGTATAGCTGCGGCCTTTTCTGTTCAGAATGAAGGATTTTGTGTTATTACCTCTTTCTAAAATTAAGCTCTGGGACCTCCTCAGAGGGAAAACCTGAGAAGAATCTATAAGTCCGGAGAAGTCGTTGGAAGCCACTAAGTTAACGTAACCATGGAAACCTGCATGCTCAGAGACAGGGATGAAGGGCCAGGCTTGTTACAAAAGAGAATTAGAGAGATAGATGGCTTAGGAACAACAGGCTTAAACACCTGACTGGGAATGTCCCTTCTTGCTGAGTTCCAGGGGTCAATTAACATTAAGACGTGTAAAGCCCAGGACATTTAAACAACTTAAACCCTTGTTCCTGCTGCTGGAACTAGGGGTGTCTTGCTGAGAAAAGACTGTCTAAACAACATGGCCTCTCCAGGACCTGTTTCTGGAATATTCACACACGCCAGAGCCCCATGTCTTCAACCATATCAAGGTCAAATGTCAATGTTATCAAGAAGGAACACAGGAAACATATCAGTGAATAATCATTTTCTACCTGTTGTCCAAGGAAAGCTAAAAAAACACAAAAACCCAAAGATGGTTAGTTTTCCTTCTAATGCATCAGGCATGTTCTGAGCAAGAAAAGTCTCAGAACAGAACAGTCAACAGGCACTCACCGACACACACAGTATTGTTGGTATTTTGAAAAGTGCCACTCCAGAAGGGTAAAGAATGATATTTTACATTTTAAGAACCACAAAATAAGTTTTCATATATATATAGCTCAAAAAATAAATGAAAAGAAAAGTGCAAGAAGATATTTTAATGTAAGGCAATCAAAAACCTATGATTCTCCTGCATGGTAGGCATCTCCCAGCCTTTCTGTGCCAGGGTCCTGTGTGGTACTGCTCTCTAGCTAAAACAGTCATCTGCCCGCACCTGCCTTCCCCAAACAGGAATTGTCACCAGGTGGCGGGCATGGAGGCAGGGGCCCCTGGGGGTGGCTGCCAACCCTCCCCCATTGTCCCTGTAACTGTAGGCACATCATTGCTAATGTTGCGTGTCTTTCTTTACACGCAGAAGCTGCTAACTTCTTTAAAGGGAATATGGAAAAGCTGAGCGTTTCTCTCATTTCCTAAGGAAGCTTTTGCTGACTCTCTTTTTATCCTTTATTACCTTTGTGTGTAAAAAGTAAAATTATAGAATAGCTTCTTAGTCAAATGAATTTGTTACTGTTACTTCTGAGTATAGCTAAGCAATCCACTTTCAATTAGAAGGAAAGAGGCAAAGATAGGACTTTTTAGTCATAAAAATTTCAATTTCCCATCCTACCTCCTACCAGGCAGCGTCATGGGGACTGAAAACATACTCCAGACATTAGTGTGATAAGCACTTGATTTGGGAAGTCCCTCAATCAAACACAGCCATTCTCGATGGTACAATATCACCCCAAAGGAGCAGAGCTTGGTGAGGTTGGGAGGAATGTGGAAAAAAATCTTATTATTACAATTCCATGGGGCCACGTCACACTAAAAGCCAGGGTTGGAGAGGCTGTGGAGACACCAGAACCCTGTGCACTTGCTGGTGGAAACGTAAAGGCGCAGCTGCTGCGGAAAACATTATGGAGGTTTCTCAAAAAATCCAAAGTAGAGCTACCATATGATCCAGCAATTCTACTTCTGGGTATATATCCCAGAGAATTAAGAGCAGGGTCTCAGACAGGTATTCGCACACCGTGTTCACAGCAGCACTGTTCACAAATAGCCAGTGTCCACGGACAGATGAAGAAATAAGCAAAGTGTGGGACGTGCGTACACTACAGGATGTTATTTGGCCTTAAAAGGAAGGAAATTATGATGCATACTACAACACAGACGAGCTCTGAGAACATTACGCTAAGTGAGATAAGCCAGCCACAAAAGGACAAATACTGTATGATTCCACTTATACGAGGTACACACAATAGTCAAATTTATAGAGACAGGAAGTAAAATGGTGGCTGCCTGGGGTTGGGGGAGGGGAGAATAGGGAGTTATTGTTTAATGGGACAGTCTCAGATGTGCATGATAAAAGCACTCTGGACGTGGATGGCGGTGACTGCACAATAACGTGAGTGTACTTAGTACCACTGGACTGCACACTTAAAAATAGCAAAAATGGCAAATTGCATGATATATATATTTTACCACAGTTGAAAATAACTAAAAAAATTCTAATTTCACGGGGGCAGAGACGATTCGAAAAAATGCCCTAAAAGGCTCCTTAGACTTAAAAATAGCAAAAATGGCAAATTGCATGATATATATATTTTACCACAGTTGAAAATAATTTAAAAAATTCTAATTTCACGGGGGCAGAGACGATTCGAAAAAATGCCCTAAAAGGCTCCTTATGGAAGTTATTATTTAAGAAAATAAAGGTTGAGAAACACTGTTCTGACACTGCTGAAGAATCCAGTGACATCACTCGGCTCCGAGGAGGAAAGGTGACCACCGTGGTGAGTCACATAAAATATGCATTCTGTTTTCAAGCTGGGCATTCTCTCAACGTGGCTCTGCACTGCAATGTTTAAAGAGATTACTGCCTATTACATCACATAATTTTTGTGACTGATTTCTATTACAAAACTCGGATATCACAATGAATAAACTGGATGGCAACGGATTGAAGGTTTGGGGGAAAAAATTTTTAAAAAAATACCAAAAATAATGGAGGGGAATTTTCCTCTCTCCATTGCACGTTTGCTCCCACAAATGCTCGACTCACCTGCTAATGAAGGGTCTGATGCTGTCCCCGGTGACAGGTGCCATGGACATTGGCATGGGCTCGGGGGTGGACAGCCAGTAGGAGTAGTCGTTGCGGGAGGCGAAGTTGCACACGCTGTTGATGTTGCAGAACAGGAAGGGCATGGTGCTGAACTTGCGCAGGCAGCTCCCGGCCGTGCCTGCACAGGGGACAACGGGGTGCGTCTTTCTAACTCACAGCCCGCCTCTATCTAGGTACAACGGATTTCCGCTGGCCAACAATCAAAGGCACACATTCCACATAACCATTAAAGTGGAAATTTAAAATTCCTAATTGTTATCAGAAAGGAGGAAGTAAATACACCAAAGACACCAATGATATTGTGAATGAGAATTAAATTAAGTTTAAAGTGATCGGGCAAAAGGGAAACCATAAAGAATTATGTAGGAGATTTGTGATAACAGGAAACAAAACCAGTTTACGGGTAGAGAGAAACGTCTTTCTAGAGCTGAATTCTGGAAGAAATTTAACACATGAATTGCGATACGATGGCTGGTGACATATTAGACAAAGTCTTTAATAATAGTTTTGCAGAAAATGTAGAGACGGTCTTTATACGGGAGAGCTTCAAAACGTTCATGGAACGATTCGTATTATCTTTTAATTCCATTTTTCCATGAACATTTTGAAGTACCCTCATATAGCTGCTTGTTGATTCTAACCTCAATAAAAGTTAGGAATCTAACATTAAAACATAATTTGGTGGAGGATATCTTGAGCAGACTAACATAATGAAGACAGATACCTAACTCTGCTGATCTAAACTTACAGAAGGGCAGAGCTTAGGAGACATAGAGAATTTCAGATGGGATGACATGGATTTCCTTTAAAAAGAGCAACAGTTTAGCTGTCCTGTTTTAAGAATAGCAGTGCAAACTGTTGAGTGTGCACTCCAGGAATCTTGAACCTGCTTGATAATTTAAGGGTGAGATCTAGAGTTTTACGAATTTAGACATTTTCAAAGATTCAGTCCTTACATTTTCTTGGCTTCCCATTAGTAATACAGCAGCTGTTGAACAGATTCATTTAATAAGGATGGAGAGAAACAGGGCTGAGCCTGCTTTCCATTAACTACTGCCTTCCCGGCACCCTAACCTGCAGTGGTAAAGGTGTACCACAGCAGGCACCTGACAAGTCTGCACCTGGACGGACAGATGGATCACAGACATCTTACCCAAGTCCTGGCCATGGGCCCGTTCATTGCCTTGCACGTAGAGCAAAGAATACCCATGGTAAAGAATCTTGGTCCCAGGAGGACACTGTGGGTCATCGATTGTCTGACTGTGCCTGGTCACGAGGAAGCCATGATCAACAGATGGGGTGCCGGGGGGGCCCATGGATCCTGGAAGCCCATCAGGGCCTGGTGGGCCAGGAAATCCTCTTGGACCTGTAAGACAAAGCAATTACCCTAGTTACAAACAGATTCCCCTGGAAGCCTTCAAAACCGTTGTCTGGAAAGAGTTTTTAGTATTTTGTATTTCTACAAAGTGTCTTCTTTTCACATGACAGACAAAGTACTCAGAAAAATACATGGCTAACTAAATGCAACCACCCCCTTCTTCATGGTGTCTTATCTTTCTCTTTTACACGCCATCCTGAGATGTTTAGATAAGCACAGTGCTCGGTGCATAGCAGATGCTCAAAAAATTCAGTTCAAGAAATACATAAAATATATAAAATGGATATATGAATAAATGAAAATAAATTAATGATGTGATTCTGTGCATGTCATTCACATAGAATGCTGGGACTCCTCTAAGGGAGGATCACTATAGAAAGATTAAAACAACTGCATTCTAGAGTGGTTTCCCTCTCACAGCATCCTGAAGTCTGCGTATGGGAACTAAGCACCAAGGCACCTGGTGCCCGGGTCCTTGCACCCCTGGGGTGGTGATGCCACGTGCAGACTTCACTCTTCGCTGGGCGGTGCTCTTTGCTCAGTGAGTGGGCGCCCCTAGTCTCAGCATCTCTGTGATTATGGGATGTTCAAGTGAGTTCCTGCTTCCAAAGGAAGCCTGCCAAGTTTATCCCACGCCAGGTACACTGTCGTCATGACTTTTCAGTGCCCCTTTCCCTGACCATTGGTGAAATGCAATGTTGGTGGCTGCAGCCATTAGGAAACCACGTGGTGCCACCACAGTTGGCCACTATTCATCAACATCTGGAAAAGTTATGCTTTGACCAACATCTGTCTCTACACAGAGACAAGGACAACCCTTTAGTTCCCTGTGAGCCTATTTCTTCTAAGAAAAAAAGTCTTTGGAAATGTTTCAAGTAACATATCCCACTACGTTTTGCAATTTTTCCTGTGCCTCGGCCTATTTCTTCTAACCCAAAGATACAGGGAGAGGGTAATCAGGTTGGAAGGCCACAGCAACCTACCAGGAGGCCCAAAAGGTCCCGTCTCTCCTTTCTGGCCAGGGGCACCATCAAACCCGGGACTACCTGGAGGTCCAGGTAAGCCCACCGATCCTGTCACACCTGAAGCAAAGGAAAAAGAATTCACAATCCGGTCCTGGAGGACTGTAAGCTGAATCTCCATCTCCCCTTCTTAAATGTCTATTTTATTCTCTTTGACTGCAAACGAGAACCCTGTCCGGGACAGCCGTAGCTGCTTCCTGCAAAGCCTTGAGGAAGCAGCAGTCTAACTGGTGTTCTCATGGGTGCTTGACGGCTCCCTCTGAGGTCTCCCTGGTTTCTTATTGTTGACATCTCGCACATAGGTTTGGAAAAGGCCAGCTACGCGGTGGAGGGGAGGGCGGAGAGGGAGAGATTTGACAAGCCGTTCCCCTGTCCCTACTCCGGCATCTCAATTTTTAGACAACAGATATATTGACGTGTTACACATACATGTTTTCAGGTATATAGTTTGCTCTAGGTCGCCTTAAACTTAGGTTTCTGAGGATGCTATCTTCAACTCACCCCTTACCAATAGCTCTTAAAAGAGGAAACATTTAGCTCCGATAAGCAGAATGACTCTTAAGTTCGGGTTTTTGGGAACAACAGGGAATAGCTGCAAATCTTTGCCAGTCGGGAAGAGCTCCCGGGCCTCTGAGGAGAAGTGCCCGTTTTCACAGCTCTAGATGGGAGCTCGAGCTCGACCCAGATGGGGTGAGCTGCGTGCTCCTCCAGCTTTTGCTGTATTTTGCTCTGGCTCTTATGTCCCTTCAAAAGCTTCATTTGGTTCTGATATACATTAACGGAAGGTAAGAAAGTCATATTCAAATACGTCTTTGCACAATCATGACCCAGAAGCTTGGATGTCAGACCCGCGGGGAAAGGGGAACTCTCTGCCGCCTCCCCCCTGAGCTCTGCACACCACCCCACACAGCCCAAGGATTCTTACCTTGCTGTCCTTTGGGGCCCTGAGGTCCCGGTAGCCCTTTCAGTCCTGGAGGACCCTGAGGACCAGGGAGCCCTGGCTCCCCTTTCATGATATCGTAAGGACCTGGAGGGCCGGGGGGACCCGGGAGCCCTGTGGGAATGCAGATGCCACTGGTCAGTGTCATTGTCAACAGGCTGGGGCAGAAAGAGCTTCTGCACGAGAGCCCAGTGTGAAACAATCCCCGTGAAATACGTTTCTCAAAAGTAAAGTCATGATCAGAAACACAAGTCATCAGACCCTCACTAAACACACATTCAATCTGCACCTCTTTATTGTTTATCCTAAAATCCTGACCCTCGGGACCGGAAAAGACACTGGAATCACCCATGGAAACTTTCCACTGGGTTCTGGAATCCCCGACACCTACCGTCCAGCCTCATTGAACACCTGCACAAGATGAAGCTCATTCCTTCCTGAACAAAGTCCACGTCTGACTTGGAGAGCTCTGATGTTTGCAGTTAGGACTTTTTTCTTATACTTATGTGGAATCTGCCTTCCTGTGTGTTATAACTACTGGTCCGAGTTTTCTAATGACCAATGACCTTAATCCTTCTTCTGCGTGGCCGGTCTCCGCGTACCATGACGCGAATGTAGCTCGAGGTAGGCCTCAGCCTTCCTGTCGTCAACCAAACACCCTCAGTCCTCTCCCCCCACACACACTTGTCCCTGCTTCTTTTCTCTCCTCGCATCCCACTTCTCAGTACTTTCAATTTCTCATTCTCCCTCCTAAAATGTGTTTCGAAAATGAAACAGAGCCCTAACACGTGGTCTGCCCAACAGAGAGCAAACATGATGAACACCTAAGTAAGCCGGCTCCTTCCAAGACCACTTAGTGTTTCCTATGAGGCATTCTTTACTGTCCAACCAGAATGAACTCCGTCTGCACACGCAGGATCGATCTTCTCCCATCATCACTTTGTGCGGCTGATTTCAGCCTAACTTTGCGGTGTTTGTGAATGTCGAGTGTGTCAGCTGGTATTTTCACCATCCCCTCTGCACTGGATTTGCCCCAGTCACAGATTTAACAACTCTGACTTTCAAGATGAGTTGCTGGTAGAAATGTCAACCACAGGAATCCTGACATTCTACAGAGAATTTTTAATCCTCTTTTTTCTGATGATTTTCAGGTCGTTTTGCATATGAAAAACCAAACACCCTAATTCTATATCTTCAATACCTTTTGTATTTCCCTAAATTGTCAGTAAGGTGCCCGTGGGTTAACGCACTCTCCTACCTTTAGGTCCAGGGATGCCTTGATCTCCTTGATCGCCTTTAATTCCCTGGAGGCCAGGAAGCCCTTTCTGACCTGAACAAAAGGAGGATATTGCCTTTGCACAGAATTTCCAATGATACATAATCACGTGTGTGTTTATACACACACTTACATATACACAAATGTACAAACACATGCATATGTGCAAACATATGTGTACATATATACACAAATATTCTTATGCATATATACAAATGTACCTACCCAAATATACATGCATATACATGTATGCCTATACAAGGGTACTTCAAAAAGTTCGTGGAAAACTAGAATTCAAAGATAATCTTTCCACGAACTTTTTGAAGTACCATTGTATACATACAGATACACACATACATACACAGTGAACATATTTCCAATTTATCCTCAAGGAATAAGACAGCATTCTTTATGGTCATCTCTGTAAAACATCTGATAAAACTCTTCTTTCCAGAACCCAGAAGCCACATTTTCCCAAGCATGCAACAAACTGTAAAAATGATCATGACCAGCAGAGGCGCACACGTGACACTGTTTTTGGTCATAATCTGATTCACATGTGCCCCCAAATAGACCACAAGACAACTGCAGGCTGACAGCTTGTCTCATTCAACTTTCATGTGTCTGATTCAGCAGTAGAAAATGCAGTGCCTGGAAGCTGGTAGGTGCCCAATAAATGTTTGTTTAATACATTAATGAATGGCCCAAACCCATGCCTTCTTAGTGAGATGCAAATGATTGACATGCAAATGATCCATGGTACTTAATAAGAAAATCAGAATGTCTTTTTCCAGCCATTCATAGAACTATACAAATTGGGCTGCCACACAGAAATGGCATTTTTAATTTGAAGAGAACAATATCTCATGCTATAACTATGCTGGTGCTGTCAACATTAAGTGCCTGTGGTGACGAAGCTCTTCAAACATCTCCTTTTCTATAGGGCCGTATAGCCCATTCTTTGCTGTCTTACCTTGAAATCCTGGAACCCCTGGAGGGCCCAAATCACCCTTAGGACCTGCAATTCCTGGGGAGCCACCAATCCCCTAAATACACAAAGAGAACACCAGTTAGGAGATGTCAGGACACATACAACAAGTCTCTTAAGTCACATTGTGCTGGAAAGCTAAGAAAGCCCTCAATGTCCTGCAAAGTAGGTTTTTGAACAAATGGTGTCCTGTGCTTTCTTAAATGATGTAACAAGAATGACAAAATCTCTGTGTGTGCCTGAATTAGGAAACTGGAAGTTGGAACAATTTATTTCATCCCCTTGGTTCCCCTCTACACAGTGAGCTCCCTGGCAGCAGGTGAAGGTCTCACACCCCGTTACCTCCACCCACAGCACGATGCCACAAACAGAGTCAGGAGTCCGTAGACACTCGTCATGACAACACACCCATCCGTCAACACCAAGTGCCTTTCTCAAAAACTTTCCCCTAAACACTCAAACATAGTGATTTTCTTTACAATTAGCTTCACAGCTTACCTGAAAACCGATTTCAAATACAGAAAGACGATAAAAAATTCTAAAGGAAGATTATTTCCCTTTATAATAGAGCAATATTTATGCATTTAAAAATATTAGCTCATTTTATTGCTATTTCTATATACTTGTTCCTTTCTCTGGTCAGGTAAAGCAACATGTAAAAAGTTGTATTATTTCTTACATAGATTTGTTTCTTTGGTTTACCTTATTTTAAAAGTGCCGTAGTGAAAATAACATGCACAAATATATATTTGTATGAACATATACACACACATACGTACATACATATGTATAGAGATAGACACTGACACTAGGAATGAGAAGTATATATTTCTAGGTTACTGAGGAATAAAGGCAGGAATATATGAATAATTGAGAAACTACGTGCACGTACATCACTGGAAAACTGCAACACAGCAATAAGGGGCCCAAAAATATATTCATATACACATACCGTGGGGATGTGCACACGGCTGTGAGGACGGGGAGTGGATAAAAGTAGTTATTGCTATTCCACGTAGCTGTTCTGTGCAATTACTCAGAAGCATTTAATAAGGTACTGATTCAGAAGTAAAACAGCACCACTTATTTTTTAGTGCATAGCAAGTTTAGTGATTCCATACCTGTCCCTCAGAAAGTGCCCTAATGACTCTGAAACACGTCTCTGCTACAGAGGAGCGGTTGCCGGTTCTCCCTGTGGGGAGCCTGTGTTGACTTAGCAAAGAATTCCACGCGCTTCCCTGTCATGGCAGAGGCCTGTCCAGAATCCCTCCTGTTTCTAATCTCCCCTGACACACACTGTCCTTCTCCCAATGTGTGTTAGAGAGATAGACACAGGGAACGAGTCTCTGCGAATGCTTCTATCTGACATCCACAGTCACACAAACTCAGCCCGTTGGCCATGGATGTGGCCGAACTGAGAATCGAAGCAGAGACCCATGACCACCACTCTGCCTAAGAGGGGCTGTACGCTCAGGCACCACAGGGGACCAACAACACACACACACCCCAACCCCTCCACCAGTCGGTCACTGCACCCTGAGACATGCTCCTCAGGAGACTCGTCTAAGTCACCGTGATGTCAGCTGCTCATGTGCAACCTTTCAGTTCTGCGGCCAATCACAGGAGATGGCTGGGCTGGTTTTTCATAATTGTTCTTTACAAAACAGCACTGGCTTGCTTTTTGTGTTGAGTTTGTAAATAGATCTTACACCTATGCATTGAACTGTAATTTCTAGCAGTAAAATATTTCCCTTTTCATGGTTCTTGCAAAACTAGATTGTAAAAAATGTCATAATTGTTTCCTACTCCGATGCCAATACAGATGCTGGTCACTGATGAGAAAGAAACGATTTAGCAAGGACTTGGGAGTGTAACACACATGTATGTATATACACACAATAGACACACATGAATAATTCTGTGACCAGAAAAGGCTCCTTTTCAAAAAAAAATTTACAAATCGATAACTCACAGGCATGCCCTGGAATCCGACATCTCCCTTGGGCCCTGGAGCCCCAGGCGTTCCTGGCCAGCCCGGATTTCCTTTGTCCCCTTTCAGTCCATCAAGCCCAGGGAGCCCAGGAGGCCCCATGGGTCCCGGAAGCCCTAATGGGAAAGACGAAAGTCACACGTTTGAGGTCAAAGGGTGATATTATGCACAAATATCATCTGGCTGTGGTGGTGTCATTACTGCAACCCAACTGTCCCTAACTGTACACAACACCCTAGTGAGCAGCGTGAGCCCTAGAGAAATCAAGGCATGTCCTAGAAGGAGGAAAGAATGTTCACATAAACCACAGCCTCAGTGTCCAAAATGTCTCTGTGGTTACTGGTGTCCAGTAACCACGATGATACCACTACGGTAGTCTTGGCCAAGGGCAGAAAGGTGCTAGAATGTCGTGTTGGTTTAAAACAAACGCCATAGACAGCATACATGTCCAGTCTTTTTCAATAATTTCCTTACTTGCATTTTCTTAATTACTTAAATTTTTGACAAAAAGGATACAGAAAAAGCTTTGCCCCAATGGAGGCCAAAACACACTTTCAAGCTGTAATAAATGCTGCAAACTTCTAAATAAAAAGCTCAATTGAGAATTTTTCTTTAACTATTTCTTTTACACCAGTCTCTCTTGGTGAATCCTGTTCCAGTCCCCAGCTCTGACACATGGTGAAACACACTTACCTGGCAGGCCTGGCTGTCCCTGAGGCCCCCGGTCTCCTTTGGGCCCCTGCACAGGCTGGCCTGGTGCCCCGGGAAGTCCCGGCTGTCCTTGGGGCCCCGGAGGACCCATGAATCCTTGCTCTCCTTTGGATCCGGGGATTCCTGGACTCCCGGCTAACCCTGGGAAGCCCACGTCACCCTTTGAACCTAAACAATAAAAACAGTTGGAGATGGTGGTGAAAGGCCACAGAAGAACCAGAACAGAGGCTGCCATGTGGCATCAGCAATGACACGAGGAGAATGTTTCTCATCCCTGGCACCCCGCAGAAGGGCGTCCCCAAGGCACCAGCAGGAAAAGGGGAGCAGGTGCTCTGTTCTGTCCTTCCTTGTAAATAACACACTAGACTCCCACTGTGGCCCAGCCTGAAAAAGAGAAGGCCTGGAATGCTAAGAACCCAGTTATCAGTTTTTAGACTTTTTAAAAGTGTTTTATGTGGCAAAGGCATTTGAACATGTGCTTAGAAAACTCTGCAACTGTCTGCCCAGCTAAAAGTAAGGGCTTGTTCCACCAACAGGGGACAAATAAACAAACTGTCACAATCACACAATGGGACTCCATGCAGCAATAGAAAGGATCTTTCATTGCCGCGGCCACCTGTGGGTTTTCTTTCAAAGCTTTGTGGCTTTCTTGCATGTGCCTTGTCTGCCTTTTCTCTCTCATCCCATGTTCAGTTCCCTGAAGGCTGAGACTGCACCTTTAGGCTCCTTTGCAATTCTCGACTGTGCTTGGCTTTTAGCTCACAGCAGCTGCATAGGAGATGGTTTACTGTCCGTGGCATGTGTCACATTGTCCTACCTTCACGTGAGACGATCAGTCTCATAAAGTAACAATTTAGATACTCTGATCACTTCCTCAGCACAAAAATGACAGAGGTTTCCCTTTCTACTGAGTTTTATAAAATCAGTCTAAACAAAAGAGGGTTTCTGGCAATAAGTATACCACACACCATTTCAATCTGTGAATTAGGTGGTGTCACCTGCGGGCCTCGCAGGACAATTCTGCAGGGTAACTCTGGACCCATTCAGTTGCTGCTGTGCTCATGGGGACAAGGGGCTGAGCCCTGCAGACAGTTGCCCTGTTCTGCAAATCCACGTGCAGCCGCGGTTAGTGGAAAAGGGAGTCAAGCAAGCGTTACCTTTGTCTCCTTTGGTTCCTGGAAACCCTGGGAATCCTCTTCCTGGTAGACCTATAAGATGAGGGTAAAAAGCAACAATTCTCTTTAAATGATCAGTCTGCAGGTAGAGCACAGAGCAGCATCACCACTGTACTAATACCATGCACATTTGTAGACCACCTGGAAATTAGCTGATTGTACCTTAGGGATAAAATTAAATTCCTGCAGTTGTGATAAGATACCCCTAACCGGGCGTTCATAATTCAGCAGTGTTTCATTTTGTCTGGTTTTGTCACAGCATACAAGGAAGTGGGCGAGGAGGACTGTCCCCTGTGTGCACAGCTCTAACCCAGCAAGGGCCATATGAGTGTCTCTGACCCCCCACTGAGTGCTCAGGCCATTTCAAGGGAAGGGGCCCATAAGCACTTGTGGAATCAGTGAAGACCCCTTTCCCCTCTTCTCATGTAAACCTGCTCCACACGGCCACATCTGTGTTTCGGGAGTTACTAGGACATATGGCACGGGTGCCACTTTGTCCCCAGCCCTGTCCACCTGGTGTGGTGTGCAAGTCTGGAAGTGCCCGATGCCCATTCTGAAAGGGAACAGGGAGCAGGTACCTGGTTCCCCCTTCTCTCCCGCCGACCCTGGGATTCCATCACTGCCAGGCTCCCCTTTCTGGCCGGCTGGGCCTGTGGCGCCAGGCCTCCCCGGAAGACCTTGAAGAGGAAGGTCACATCGGTCACTCACAGAACATTTACAGCACCCCCGCTGCCGAGTAAAATGGTCTGTTCCCGATGTTCTTTAAAGGACTGCTCTCTCCTGAGCGCGTCTGGCTGCCTCGAGGGTAATCCTGATATTGCTTCGGAGAGGACCCTCCACACTATTGGCAGCTCCACTGACCCCCAACCCCCAACCCCCAAAAGCTGGTGAGAGTGGAGAGAAAATCCCTAAGCTCTTGTGCTAGTTATAAACACACCTTAGAGAATTTGGTCCTAGTTTCTAACTAGTGGTGAGACCTCAGAAAGGCCCTGCAAGCCCCCCAGACTCAGTCTGTCATCTGAAGCACCGGGTGGGACCTGCAGGCCCCGCCTTCCCGTCCCGCAGCCGCTTCTCACGCCCCCAGCGGTGTTCAGGGGCAGCCCCCACCTGCTTCTCCTTTGATGCCGGGGACGCCGTCCAATCCCGGTAGGCCCTTGTCACCTTTTTCTCCAGGCAACCCAGGGCTTCCTAAAGAAAAAAACAAAACACCAAAAAGCCCATAAGCTTGCAGTTTTCTGTCTCTGAACCCCCTGTGGGCAGGAGGTCGCAGTTCACCCACCTGGATAGCCGACACTCCCCGGAGATCCTTTAGGGCCCGGAGAGCCCGGTATTCCCGGAATGCCTGTGCTTCCTTTTTCTCCCTTCTCTCCAGGGCCTCCTGGGAAACCCGGAATCCCCTGATCTCCCTGAGAGTAAAAATCGGGTGTGTTAATTTTACATTGTCCCTGACATGCGTGTGCGGCACCTTCTGGTTAACAGGGCACACACACTCTGGTGCAGTGACTCCTGCACTGGAGACTTCCACCTCCAGATTCCCACCGAGGAACCAGGGTCCATGCCTAAAACAGAGGAAAACTGCCGAGCGACAGGGCCGGGGCCACGCTCTCCTGCCGCGTTCCTCGCACCTCCCTCCCTCCCACCCTGTTAATGTGTATCTTCCTCGAGGGCAGAGAGAGTGAACAGAAGGGGCAGTAGGGGCAACTTATAAGTAGCTGGGGGGATTATTGTATGTGACGATCCATTGGCTGTGCTGAGGTGTCTTTTGAAAATGTCTGAAAAGCGTTTCCACTGAGATGGGAGGGACCTCTCCGTGCAGGATGCTGATACCTTGTCTCCAGGCCGCCCAGGAATCCCGATGCCAGGGAGACCCGCCTGCCCCTTCTCTCCTTTTGCTCCTTTCTCTCCAGGCAAGCCGGGGACCCCCTGCAGGCCGGGGATGCCAGGCACACCTTTCTCTCCAGGTGTTCCTATGAACACAAACAACCGTGAGACCTGGATGAAGGACAGGTGAGTGCTCATGTTAAAAATAAGAAAGCACCTTGTTAACCAGCCAAGAGCAAAGTGAAAACACTTGGGTCCCTTCACTTATCAATCTGCAATTGATCCAACTGGCTGCCAGTCACCCAAATCACATCACAGCCAGACTAGGAAACGCTTCTCCTGTCTCTCAACGACCATCGTTTTATAAAGAGAGAGAAGAAACACATCAACTGTTTAGAATATTTACTTTCTCCATAGCATGAAAAATGGCTCTTATGTTCTTTATTATGTAATCAACTCTCATTAACCAAACCAACCAGAGGGGTTGTGAGGCTGGCAGTAAAGGGCAGATGTGTACTCGGTTTTGTAAGGCATGTGGGCAGCCAACCTTACTGATAAATGGGTGTAACCAGCAGCCCAGATGTTTATACTTCAAATAAAGTGATACCAGCACCTTGTAAGGCCTTAGGAGAAGAGAGGAAGATAGGCTTCCCGTCTCAGCCTTCCCCTTTCCAGCGAGTTCTGAGCAAATACAAACAGGTCTAAAATACAGACAAATACAGACAGGTCTAAAACTCCCTACCATCTCTCACGTTCCTCTCTCCTTCATTGCTATCACTGGAGGGGACATGGATGGCACAGCCTTAAGGCAGCTCAGGATTGGGGTGGAAGAGTCCAGGGGACTCTTCTGAATGGATACTATGGGCTCTCCAGGCCAGGGCTGCTTGTGTGACAGAGCTGGATGGAGACCCAGACCTCTCCTGGGGAGATACTGGCCAAGTGGGCAGGTCACTTGGAGGTCATGAAAAGCTGATTTATACAGCCCATGTTTTCTTCTAATACATTGTGAGTTTTCTTAGACAGCCATGGAGTCAGCCAAATGCCGTCCATGGCTAGGCAGGAGACCTCACAGAACTAAGTATTTGAATTAGTGTAAAAGGCACACTGCCTAGACTGTGTCCTTCTCAGGGGAACAGGTTCCCACTCTGCAGACAAGTCCCACATGTGCACATGTTGGAAAGACACCCTTTCTAAACCCAACGTACCTGGCAAGCCCATCCCACCAACTGATCCTTTTGGTCCAGGAAGCCCAGGAGAACCTGGGGTTCCACTTATGCCTGGATCACCTTTAGGCCCTAGAATAAGAAGAGAAACATCCATCAGGTTAACACCTGCAGAAACAGCTGGGTAGCATATTCCTTCCCATGAGCTCCTGCCGTGCTGGCCACTGGAGCTCCACGTACCTGGCTGTCCAGGATGCCCGGCTTGCCCATCCTTTCCAGGCATTCCTGGGGTCCCAGGGTCTCCTCGGGATCCTTTTTCACCAGCTGGCCCAATCTGTCCTACATATCACAGAAAAAAAATAACAATGACTCATGTCTGCTTAAAAGGCAGATTGTCACAGGAGTGCAGGTTAATTTGATAATGCAAATGGAGAACCCAAAACCCCAGGTCCGCGCGGCACCTGCCCCTGCCGTTGCCAGCTTCCCTCCACCTTACCTTTCTCTCCTTGGTCTCCCTTCTGTCCCTTCATGCTGCCCATGTCCACTTTATCCATGGACCCAGGTTTGCCAGGGAGACCGACATCCCCCTTATCACCCTTGAAGCCAGGGTCTCCCCTGGGTCCTGAGGAGCCCGGGAAGCCGTGGTCCCCTGCGGGGGAAGGAGAAGGTGCCCCAGTGAGGTTTCGGAGGGAGCCAGAAATGTCAGCATTCTTTCTGGCTCGAAGAAACCACTGAAAAAGAAGCTGGAAAGAACTAATAACCTGTCCCAAAATGGCACTAGACGGAAAGTCTCTGCGCTACACTGCAGAATCTGGGCCCCAGGTAAATGAACAATTAAGCCATTTTCAAAAGCTCACTATTTGCTAATAATTCTAATACATGTGACTTGGCTTGTTAGTTGAGATGATTTACGTTTTCTCTCCTTCCTAAACATCTTTATCACTCCTGCTCATGGTGTTCCTCAATTCTCTACAAAATAATAGAACAAAAATTTTCCTGTTCTACTAAAACAATTGACGTTCTCTGTATCTCACATTTAAAGTCAACTTTTTTGTAATTATTTTGAACCAATTTCAAATAACAAGATAAGAAATAAACACTAAGAGGTGTGCAGTTGCCCAGTTTGCTAATTTGTTTCTAAGGACTCTGTCCCTGTGCCCTCGCGTGGCTGAAGATCCCACCGTGTCTCACAAAAAGGATCTCAGCCACGCCGGGAAGGAAGCCCATCCTCTCCCCGAATCCCTCGGCAGAGCGTAGCTCGTCACCCCACGTGAACTGCACTCCACAAAGTCCGACTGGAAGAGAGGAGTCTCCAGTCTCTGCCTTGACCTGAACTCTCTTCGTTTGCCTTTTGAAATGATCTACGACAATTTGAGAATTTCCCCAGAGGTGTGAGAAATGAGACACAAGATAAGCGTTTCAGAGTTATCAACTCTCCTACCTTTTTCACCCGGTAATCCTGGAGTCCCCACGGGTCCAGGCAAGCCCGGCTGCCCAGGGGTCCCCATGACGCCCATCTCTCCCTTGGGACCTGTGGCCAAATGGAAAGCAGGTGAACACTGCCCCCTTGGAACACAGTGGGGGTGCTCACGAGAAGAATGAGGGGAGGCCTGTTTCTCACCATCGATATGGGGTGGCGGGGGTTCAAAAATCATTTACCTGGAAACCCGGGGATTCCGGGCGATCCCTGCTGTCCAGGAAGGCCCGGGAGCCCCGACTGCCCAGTGAGGCCGGGGAGTCCTTGGGTCCCTTTGTCTCCTTTGGGGCCTGGCATGTCCAGACCTGGGAATCCAGGGAAGCCTTTCTCTCCCTTTACTCCGGGAGGGCCTGAGGTTGCAGAATTGATGGAACTTAGCAGAATATATAGAATGCCTTACTGTAAACTCTACATGTTTAACTATTACTTTCTGTCGTCAGCATGTGAACATTCCCGCACTGGGGAACTGAATGGACACCTGGTCAGGTATTGGTATCTGGGGTCCTGAGGACAGTCCATGTATAAGCAACGTCCAGAGAGAAAAGCCCAGTCCCTTCTGCTGTCCGTAGTCATAACCACCACCGTAAGTACCACCCCACCCAGGCCTCCCCGTGGCATGCAGGCCTATCACCAGTCTTCCTGGAAACGTTTTTCCCTGATTGTTTTATCCCACCCCACCATCACTACTTTAATTTTTTTTTTTTTCCTTTTTGTCTTTTTTCGTGTCCAGCAACGGATCGCAACCCTCAGTGTTGCCCCCGTACCGGACCGGGACCAGCAACGGGATCGCAACCCTCGGTGTCGCACCCACACCTCGCTCAGCCAGTGAGCGGGAACCGGTCTGTATGTGGGATCCGAACCCTCGGCGGGAGCGCCACCGTGCTTCCCAAGCGGCGCACTGTAGCAGTGCGCCACTGGGCCGGCCACTACTTTAATTTTAACATTTTATCATTAAAGGGAAAGGTAGCTTCTAGATCTGGTCTCAGTTCATTTAAATTACCCACGACCTATTAGTCCTCCCATAGAAAGATAATATAGAGATACCACTTTGAATAAAATGTAAAAAGTTATTGAATGTACGATAGAAGAGAGGTCTCTTTGTTTGGCACATAAGCCAATCTCAGTGGGAGGAGGAAAAAGAAATCTACAACTCTACGCTTAAGCAAACGACCAAAGCCCTTTTCACAAGCTGGAATTTACGTCTTCCCCCTTTATTTCACAAGGTGTGCTAATCTCCCCTTCGTGGAGACTCCAGCACCATCTCCCGCCCCCTTGGGAGCAAGCTTCAGAGAAGGGATAGTTCGAGAAGCATGTCACATCACCTGATAAGCCTGGTGGTCCCTGTCCTCCAGGAGGGCCCCTAACTCCAGGGGGCCCTATTCCTGGAACTCCTGGAGATCCTATGGGCCCTGGCAATCCAGGAGGTCCCGGGTCACCTGGAGGGAAAAACATCATGAATACACTGCGTAGGGACTGTAGCGTGCTTCCCAGCAAACCCTGACCATGCACACGATGAGCCCCGGCAACGGGAAACCACAGCTCTGATCTGCTAGGATTTTTATCATTCATTCAGCAAACCCATACTGAGAACCTAGTAGTGCTCTGGGGATACAAAAATCCACAGACCCAGTCCTCAGTACAGTCCAGACTGATCTGTAGGAAGTTACCTCTGACTCCCTGAAGCCCCGGGGGGCCGATGGCTCCATGTTCTCCAGGAATGCCTGGTCCCCCGATGTTCCCCTTCTCCCCGGGTGTTCCAGGAATGCCAGGAAGACCTGGCAACCCTTTCAGGCCTGGTAGACCAACTCCAGGCTCTCCCTGAAAATCCCCAAAGCACAGAGAAGCAAATCAACCAGCGAAGCCAGTATTTTTGTGCAGCCAATAGCCTAAGTGAGAAAAACAGATACTGCCACGCGTTCAGTAAGGACAACACCTGTCCAACGCTTTCCAGCAGTTTGTGAAGCTTGCTCTCACCTGTCGTTGCTTCTCAATCGACCACAAGCCCCAAGGTAGGTAATGTTTATTGTTTTCTTTTCACAGAGGAGAAAAATCAAGGTTCCCTGTGGTTGAATGAATTTCCACCCAGGTCTTTTGCCCAACCACAACCCCTGGGCTCTGCTGTCTTGTGGCTGAGATGAAGAACTGACCCTACGTAGCTGACAAAATGCCAAGTACGACATGTGACTATTAATGGATATCTCCTTAAGAGATGGCAAAGTTCCAGGGCTAGAACAGGACACCATTTATTTAGTTTTTTATATAAACGAAGGCTTTGACAGCAAATTAAATATTTGAAACTGTTGCATAATCCAGGGTCTTTGATAAATCCAGATATTTTGTAAGACAAGAGCGCATTTTAAACAGCTAGATTTAGGCCGTTGGAAGCAAGCAGGTGGACATTAAATCACAGGGCCCCACTGGCATCACTATCAACAACAACACACAGCAAAGGAATATTTGGACATTAGTGGGTGCTGGTAACCCTCTACATGTCCCAACAGGAAATTCGCTAAATGGGAAACACTCCATCCAAGGAATTCTTGAAAAAGCATGACATTATAAACCATAAATCAAAATCCTTCTTTCCAATTGCACCTGGCAATAACTAACTCAGGAGCCCTGTGTGCTGACTAGTTTTTCAAATCAAATGTATGTTGTAAGGGGAAGCTGGTAGCATGTTGTACAAAAACCAGCTTCCAAAGGCTTCTCCAGTTTCAGCAACATGGAAAAGGAACATCTCGATGTCAGATACTTCCAGGAAGACACTCCCCTGGAACCACGGTGGCTCGGCTGCCTGCATATGCACCTGCCCTCTCCAGCCTAGCTCCACCACTGGCAAAATACCTACTGCACTTGGCCCTCTCTCCCATTTAGTACCAATGCCTTCCAGCAATGTCACCTCCATTCTTATCATCAGAACAGGAAATGACCTAATCAATGGTCACTCGCACTTGCCAGGCAGAATTTCAAGTGTGGGCGAGCTGGTGGAAGAGTATTTGAGGGCAAGCAGAATTGTGAAGTCACACTAGACCAGCGGATCTCAACCGTCCCCCAGGTGACATCAGGCAATGTCTGGAGGTATTTTCAGTTGTCACACTGAAGGTGGGTGTGTGCCCTTTTGGTGTCTCAGGGTAGAGGCCAGGGATGCTGCCTCCCCATGACAAAAAATTATCACACCCTGAATGTCAGTAGCATGGAAGCTGAGCAACCCTGCACTCGACCCTCCCGGTTGGCTAGCATTTCTTTCAGGACATGGCTTTCAAACAGCTTTCACCTGCCACTGACAGTAAGAAATACATCTTACACTGAGATCCAGAATACACAATAGGCAAGGAAATTTCATAAAATTTCACAGAATTGAAATGAATGTCTCGTAAAATTGAAACAAATGATTCCCCTAAAATATTGACTGCCATGTGCTAAGTACTCCAATACTTTCCATTTTGTTGTTCCACTAAAAAACAAAGCATGCTGGTCCATCGCATCCTGTGAGATTAGTAAGTCACATTTCATGTGTCCAGTGAATAACGAGGACAGGGGACAGACAGCAATCTAGGGATTGCTCAGCACCCACCTTTTGGCCCTGCACACCTGGGCTGCCAGGTAAGCCATTAAATCCTGGGCGACCTGGATTCCCTGGGGGTCCCACATCACCAGGCAAGCCATCAACACCTGTGGGGAAAAGTCAAAAAAATCACTAGGTTATCATGACCTTCCCCACTTTCTTCCCTTGTCTCACGTGCCCAAATGTAAGCACACTGGTCTGAGATGGTCAACACCAGTGCAGCCCTCAGATGAGGCTCTAAGGGCAAGATGAGACCACCCTGGTCAAGGGGTGAGCCCCCATCTCCTGGCACCTGCACCGTCTTTCTCTCTCACACCTGTTCTCTTTCTGTCCTTTCCTTCCACTCCCTTCAAACTTTTCTTTCCTGTCCTACTCCCCTAAAACAGAACAAATAACCCTGCTGTCATCTGCAGACTAAGAAGGGCATTGGTGTGGCCGGCAGGGCAGGGACATCACTGTTGGTTTGTTAGAAATGCAGTCTCAGGCTCAGCCCACATCTGCTAAGTCAGACCCACTTTCTAACAAGACCCCATAAGGTCTGCAGACACAGGAGGGTTTGAGAAGCGCTTTAGGCCACTGGTTCTCACACGAGGCTGCACCCTGCGCAGAGTCACCTGGGGACATCTAACAGCTGTCTGGGCCCCGGTGTACATCCCGCTGACTGTTTTCTTCACTGAAGATAGAGAAGCCTTCAAGGGTGGTTTTAAACACATGCCCTGTGTGGTGGTGTCCGGGCAGCCTACGTGGTCCTGAGTCCTACCTTCTTCCCCACGAAGCACCTCCACCACAAGGCCAGGTGTCACCATCATGTGAGGTGACTGACATCATTGTCCTCAAAACTGTGTGGATGCCTTCGAAAGCCCCCACTAAATGGCATAGTCACCTTCACGTCTACAGCCCCTCATCTCCCACAGAACTCACAAAGGATGAAGGGAAAGCCTGCGGCCATTGCTACCAACAGCCCAGCAGCAGATGCCACCGCTGGGGCCGGTATCCACCTGCGGCCAGAGCAGCAGCAGCCCCACTCTGCTCTGGCTGGGCCTGTCCACAGGCTTACCTTTGGGGCCAGGAGGCCCTGGAAAGCCGATTCCCGGCTGGCCAACAGTACCCTTCTCTCCTGGGAGGCCTGGCCTTCCTGGGGTTCCAGGAAAGCCTCGGTCACCTGTCGTGAGAAAGACCAGTGGTCAGCATGAGAGAGGTCTGAGCAAGCTCCCACGGACAAAGGTGAACGGGAATTCTAGCAGTACCTTGAGGTCCTGGGAAGCCTGGGGTCCCTGGAAGTCCTTCTGCTCCAGGGGGACCGGGTAAAGGAACGACTTTTCCTGCTTCACCCTTGGGACCTGGGAAGGAATGGGAACGACACGGTGCATGAGCTCCTGTACCAGGTGCTCTTGCGGCACGCGCATGCCTGGACAGGGACGTCTCCGTCTCCCTTCTCCAGTCCTCCCCTCCACGTTCCTAGCATCCTTCATAGAGAGATACTCTTCTCCCCCAAATGTCTGTCCAAAATGACCAGGGTGTTTGCTGGACACCAGAATTCCTGAAGAGTACAAAATTAGAGTCATAAAAAGCTGCAAAATCTATGGTAATAAAAAGTGAGATGGCCCTGGGCAATTTCTTAATCGGCCTTCTCAAAAAATCAAAATCCTTTTACCATTCTCTGTCAATTTATCAGACTATTAGTCTATTCGAAGTTGCTTTGAGTTCGACCTGAATGATGTTCACTTGGTGGTAAATTACCTAAACAACACAGTCAACGGGTGGTTATACATCACGCACTTTCCATAACGGCGCAGCAGCACAGCTCTGTGCTTGCATCGGCGGCACGGGAAACCCACCCTCCCACCTGCATGCCAGGAGGAGCAGGCCCAGCACCCAGCATCTGGGCCCAGCAGAGCCACGGGGTCTGGGATTTAGCTGTTGAGAAAGGACCAAAGTGCTCACCTCTAAGAACGTGTGCACTGAATCTGCACACACTGTATAAGAATTCAAGATATGCAGGGCCTCCCAGGACAGCCAGCACATTCTTTAGCTATAGACTGTGGGAAACGCCAGCTGACTGACCCCAGCACATACTTGCACCCTTGGGAACAAGGCCTTTATGATCACCAAAGTAAACACAGTGCTGACAGATCAAAGGAGGTCGGTTTTCTAATCTAAAGGCCGATTGGGTCTGGACGGTCAAGGGACTCTCCAAAATGTGCATGGAGGATCAACAGCATGGCCAGCAAACCCTCCTTCAGGAGCCTCATCCCCCATCGTGCAGGATACATTGTAAATTCCCTATTTGTTTTTTTTTTATGGTAGTTTCCGACCAAAAAGAAAGTCTCATTCCTTCTTACGGCTCTGAAAATTTGCAGATGCCACAAACACAAAGAACACTGGGCTTGCTGATTTTGGAATCAGAAGCCCCGAGGAAAAGTGATCGAAGGTCTCTTTTCCTGGTTTCCTGGTTCCCTGTGGGTCTTTCTAAGTCAAACCCAGCACTTCCCTGCCTCTAAAGTAGTCATAGTAGAGACATTCCTGGGACCCTTGCCTCATAAAGACCAGTCATTAGTGGAGTCCTAACTTGGTGCTCGTACTCAGTGACTGTACAAACAAGGGAAGAATGACACTGACACAGGTACCTTGGAACTCCACGCCAGGACTGCCTGCAAGGCTGGCTAATACTTCCCGTGCTGGGGTGCTCACGAGCCTTACACTATGTCTTAATAAAGAAATAATAGTCCTCTGTGGGAACAGGAGGGAATAATTACTGACAGAATCAGCAAATTCGTGAGCAAGATGGACAAAATGCAATTGTCTTCCACAGTTCTTGCTGGATATTTTGATTTTCCAGCTACTCAGACACTGTGCTTTTCACGGTTCACTAGCTACACATTTCTACTCACGCCGCGGCCTCTAGTCGCTTTGAGAACGTCTAATGCTCCTGGTAACGCACGCCTCCCTCCCGCCCTGTGCACAGCCGTGCCTGGCCTCAGCTCCTCTCACTACGGCATCTTCCACCTGGAATCACACCCGACTCATACGTTGCTGAGCGCCCACCCTGTGCCGGGCCCAGGGCTGCACCTTGCCTGTCCCCTGATAGTCAGGAAGTCACGGAGCGTGGGGCTGGACGTGGAAGCCCACGCAGCCCTGCCACAGGCTCTCTGACACAGCCCCAGACAGGGCCTCTCAGGCCTCACCTGGCAAGCCTGGGGACCCAGGGCTTCCAGGAAAGCCTGCTTGTCCTTTGTCACCAGCAGGGCCAATCGGACCAAATCCGGGAGGGCCAGGGGGACCGATGTCACCACGACTGCCGGGGAATCCCACTCCTCCAGGAGGTCCCCGTTCTCCTTTCAATCCTATTGAACCCTGATGTGAAAAGAGGGAGAAAACGCTCTCAGTAGGTAGTCCGACACACCAGTTTACGTCACGTTCTTCTGTCATCTGTAGTAGACAAGTACCAGAGTTTAACCGGCTTACACTACTTATCTACTTCATCAACCCTCCCACAAAGGTCAGCTTGTGGTTAATAAGTGAAGCCAGCATTCTCTTCTCTAAGCTGGGCGACATTCTCTCTCCTCACCCCACATGAGGATATACTTTGGAGAATGCACCCTCTACACTTGGAATCTTCCTGTAAACAATGGCATGAACACTATTAACTTAAGATTTCCCTCCCATCCACAGCAAAAAGATAGGAACATGTCCCTGTTCAGTTCCCCCGAATACATCAGAGCCTGAGACATCAGCTGCTTGTCAAGTCTACCCACGGACACCTGGTTTACAGACTTCAGCTGTCCCATGAGCCATGAGACAAGTTTATTGATGCTGATCACCATCCAAATGAAAATACATAAATAGGATTCAAATTATTCACGTCTTTACTTTTGCAGATCCACATTGGTAAAATGCATGTGCAAAGTCTGGAAATTAACGTACCGGGGAGCCTTTGGGGCCGGGAAGACCCGGATGTCCATCTCTTCCAGGCGTTCCTGCTCTCCCTGGCGTCCCAGGCTGTCCTGGGAAACCTGGGTCTCCCTTGTCACCTTTGAGTCGCAGGTCAAAATAAATCTCCCCAGGCTCCCCCTTGGCTCCTGGCTGGCCCATCAGCCCTGGTGCACCTTGCGGCCCCTACAAGAACAAAGCCTTGTGACACACAGAGGAATCCATCCATGGAACACACCAGCACCACTGGAACACAGTCAGCGACGGAGTCAGGAACCGCCTTCTTGAGAAGTGCTCCTGTGTTTAGGTCTCGTCATTCATTTTCTAGAAGCAAGCCGATAGCTCTGTGACCAAGCCCTGACCTGCCCCACGGCTTGCGCTCTCCTTAAAAACGCTTATCTTTACTGGGTACTCCAAACAGAGATGGGGCACAGGGACAGTAAACGGTGTGGCCTCGTAAAATGGTCCTCTCCCCTTACAACTGGTTAGCATCCACGGGCCAGTTCAGAGACTGTTGGGAGGTGCTGACTGTGACTGCCCGGGCCTGGAAACGAGAGCAAGGGCCTCCGAGCGCAGCCTGGCGCGGCACAGCCGCCGCACTGAAGGGCTGGCGTTACTGAAGCTTCACAGCATCCTTGTGCACTTTGCTCCCCAAACTCTGGAGAGACAGGGACTTCCAGGCCCCGGTGCAAGCGAACTGTGGGAAAGGCTGGCTCTATCGTCAGTCCTTCAGAGCAGTCAGCAGAAAGGAACCGACTTTCCCAGAGACGCCCACTGGAACACGTCTCAGCTCCTGCAAAGCTCAATCTGCAAGGAATGCCCACACCCAGCCACCGCCTCTCCTGCAGCCACCCTGAGAGTCAGGGTCCATGAGGACAGGAGCAGAGCTTTCAAATAACATCCCAACTGCTGGTTCTCTTGGGCCTGAGAAAGACCTGGCAGCACCTAAACTCTCGCACAATTCATTCTTTTCATAAACTCCCTCTCAGAAGGTGCTCAGACCTATGAGAGCCACACATACACGGGTCATACATACTTCCCAAAGAACAAAGAAGAGAGGTGTGTACATCTCACACACACTTCTCAAAGGACAGAGCTGGAAGACCAAGACAGACCAAAATTCACAATCCCCATTTGAAGAACAGCTACACTGATTATCCGCTTGCTGTGCCATAACAGCATCTTTACACGTCATCTCTGATCCTTATCACAACTCTGCAAGAACACTGAAGCCACAGCTTATTGTTCTCAGCCGAAAGCATCCTTACATTATTTTATGATGATTATTCACAGCCTAAAAATATAAAGCTTTCCAATGCTATGATCTTAGGGTAAGAAAATATAATTTTGTATTTTAACAATAACGACTTTGCCAGCCATCGTTCCATTTAAGGGGAAAATCTGGGTTTTTTGAAAAGTGACATCGGTGACCCTAGGACATTTCATGTGGTTTCTTTGCCACACAACTTCCTGATCCTAAGCGATTCAAAGGTCTTTTGATCCGCATCCCTTAAGATGAATGCCGAGGAATCAAATACTCCCTCGAAAATTTAGCAATGGCTACATTAACTGCAGAAGAGCTGGCACCTGTGCTGTCTGCTTCTAAAAGGTGGTGCCACCGTGAGGAAAGCCAGGGAGGGTTGGCTTCAAAGTGTCACTGCCAGTGACCACGAAGCCAGCCTTTGTGAACTGTCATACTTTCCCAAAACCAAACACGTGACTCTCAAAGAAAAAGTCACAAAAATCCTATCTAAATCAAATGAAAACAGAGCATTTCACCGCTTTTCAATTTTCAATCTACTCTCCACTGCGCTCCACTGGTCCGTGGGCACCTCCTTTACCCTCCAGCCAAATTCAAAGTAAGACAGCCGCGTTTCTGAGCTGGTTAAACCACGGAGCTATGATGCAGCTTCAGATTAAAAAAATTATCTTCTCAGTTAAATCATTTACCCATCAGTGTATTTTTGGAGACACTTTTCATCTATGAAATGAAAGGAGCTCTTAAGAAAAAAGGCATGGGGATTAGAATTTTTGTGGAAGGTTTTACTTTCTTCTTTATCATGATTTCTCCTCAACCATCCTTCTCTCACACCCCTGTCTCCAATTTTATTAGATTTGGGGGTTAGAGGGTGAGTGTCTGAATGGGGTTTCAGCCACAGCTGAGGCGGGAGGTAATCCAGGAAAGCCAAGCAGATAAGGACAGACGGACAGAGGCTAAAGCATCCTTTTCTGCTTTCTTCAAAGTTCTTCTGTCTTTGATCACCACTACAGCCAGGGCTTCCCAGTTATTTGAACTTCTAATTTATGTGGAGATATTTTAAACAATTGCAACTTCTAGCTTAGCTCCCCAGGAACCAGGGAAGTTCTGGAAAGCAGAAGCCCAAGATCTAACTTCAAAAGGAGAAAACAATTGCTGACCTCCAGCTGCTTCGTTCCTATTTCAACTCACTTGTGCCCTGGCCCTCCTTTATAAAAGCTTCCAGAAAGACCTTTTAAAAAGTAAAAAATTTAAAGCACTGCATCAGAAAAGAATAATGCTAAAGGTCTGCCTTTCGATTTCTGATAAAAAGAAAAGAGAAAAAAAGGAAGGAACTGTAGAAATTAGTCAGTGCTTACAAAGAACAAAGAAACAAGGAAAATACTTGGAGCAGGACAATGCTGTAAAGCTGAAAAGCTTTAGAAATAAAACTGATTAGATGCAACAAAATAATGTTTTTCAATATTTAAGATTATTATTATTCTCTTCTCTTTAGTGGCTTCTTCTAAAACAAACTAGAAAACCTAAGAAGCTGGTATTTTATTTAACTGAAAGGTTTCATGTGGATGTAATAGAGATATTTCATTTATAGTTTTTAAAAGGCATCTATACCATAGATACTGGTAATGGTAATTTTCAAAATACATATCTAAGAAGAAGAATGGAAAAATATCTCAAAGCCTGGAGGGCGGCAGGTCAGTTTTCATCGATCTTTCTTTAGAAACTACTGGTGCTGAACCTACTCACAAACAACTTTTTAGAGGATCTGGTGTGATGTTACCGGCCACGGCAACACAGACAGACAACAATCCACTCTGCAGTGTAGCCACTTAGAGATGACTCTTGCAGCACCCCATGTTGCAAAAACTCCCCAAGACCCCAAAGGAAGGACACACCACCCATGCCATTCAGCTGCACCTGAACACAGGGAAACAGTGACGAAATTCTGACCAGGTGAGAGGCAAGGCGGTTGGATGGTGGTTCTGGATTTAACCATCTTGCTCGTTCTCATGGGATGAGGGTCACACGGAATAATCTAGACTGCTCGGCTCAGTAACACGTGCCCAGCTCCCACATGAGGCAGGAGCCACATTTGCAAATGCAACAAAGTATAGCTTGGCTGGTTTGCTTGGTGGCAAATCTTCACACGTGTACAAACTCATTTGGGTTACTTACAGGCACGCCTTCAAGACCGTCCCTGCCGGGTAAACCTCTCTCGCCCTTGGCCCCTGGCTGTCCCGGGAAACCTTTCATAAGAGACACAGAAAATAACAGCACAGCATTCACGAGTCACTTCTTTGAAGCCTCGTTTTTCCCCCCATGATTTAAAAGTGCAAAAGTCTTTCTATGAAGTGAATGATCAGTTGAAGAATCTCAAGAGAGCAATAACTAAAATTCCCAAAATAGGTTCAGAAAGGGAAACTGTGACCCCCAAATGCATACGAATAATACCCACACCCCCAGTGATCACTTAAGGAGAAACATTCTGTTAACTCCTTTTGGGATAACTACAATAACTAAAATTCCCAAAATAGGTTCAGAAAGGGAAACTGTGACCCCCAAATGCATACGAATAACACCCACACCCCCAGTGATCACTTAAGGAGAAACATTCTGTTAACTCCTTTTGGGATAACTACAATTGTGGAGCCGAGAGAACTGTTATGCTGCTACCCTTTTATTAGGAAATCTTTAGATGCCAACATTATAGGCACCTTGATCCTTTTCAGCATTGTGGACAGATCCCAGAAGTATGGCTTCATGTTCTCATGATTATGCACTAATTTTGAATGCAGAAAATTAGGTCTGTCCTGGAGTAAGATCTGTTTCTCTGTGAAGGCACTGATACAGGGTGGCAATTCTGACCTGTCCTTTTCATATTCTGGGTCTTACCGATTTCTCCTGGGGGGCCCTGTGGCCCGGGAGGCCCACGAAGTCCTGCTGTATCACAGACTAGGCAACCCTCTCCTTTCTGACCTAAACAAGGAGACACAGGGGTGCTGACATGTGACATGTGAACAGAAGTCTCCTAAGTGCGATGAGGAATAGACAAAGTCTGTCATTAGCATGTCACATCCAAACTTAGGTCTTCTCAGTTATTGAACCCGTCCTCTGGATGGTCCTGTCTGCTACTGGGCCAGAACCAGAGGAGCTGAGCTGTGCTCCGCTCGGCGGCACTGTGCACACGGCTGCCTTGGCACTCTCCACCTGCGACCACTGCTGCGTGGGTTAGTGAGCCCCCATCCTGAACCCAGCAGAGGGACAGGGGCTGCCTCACCAAAAAGTGACCCAGAAATTCAATTTTGTTTATCTGCCTGAAAAGAGTTGACTGTTGTAAATTTTTCTCTAATTCTAAAACTTCCCGTCTGTTTTTGCTTTGATTTAGTACTTTTTACTGAACTGTACATATAGCTCATGGACTTTAAACCTATGTCACTGGTTGATGATGTTCAATGTCAATAAGAGGCCACAAAAGCAAGAACAAATGCCTGGCCTGACACTAAGGACAGAAGAGAAGAGAGACCAGAGCACTGAAATACGGGAGGAAAAGTCCTCTGGAAATTCTAACATCTTAAGTCTTGGCTATCAAACTAAGCTCAAAGGCTTTAAGTATCTTAAATATACCTGTGTCTTAAACATTAAAGTGTCTGGTTTCTAGACACAAATTGGGCACAATATAAAGCAAACACTTGTGGAGAAACCCCTACAAGGGAACCCCTGGGGGTCCTCTGAATTACTCTGCCCTGCTTGCGAGCCTAGAGGTGGATGGGAGACCAGCCTGCAGGCTGATAGTGCTGTAACAGGAGCATAGAGACAAGGGGAAGAAAGACGCTTCTTCTGGGATTTGGGGGATGGATAAATGAGATTTTAGTGTAAAGAACCTCTGGCCACTGGATGTGTCATAAAATGGAACAGCCTATTTCAGAAAGTACTAAGCACCTGCTAACTAGACGGTCTCATTAAAAACCAAATGGCAAACTGAAGGGTTGCACCCCTGTGATGACTTCTAAGATCACTTCCACCTAAGGTTCTGCAATGTGTGTGGTTGTCAAAATTCTAAGATGGTAGTTGAAACTGTTTTTCATGTAGCATTTATGTTTTAGGCTTTTGAAGACCAAAAATCCTTACAAAATAACCAGAAATGGTACACCTTGGGGTTGATTCTGGGGGACAACCTCCTACTTATTCTACTTTTGGGTTATTAATATTTATGCAAATATAGGAATACCCATTGTTTACCCCACTCTAAGACAGAACTGTTGGTGCAGTGATAATCCACCTGTTTCCAAGATTGCTGAAAAGAAAGATGTGTCTTTTGTTGATGTTACAGCAAACATTTGAAAAGATTAAACTTGAGAGCCAACGGTAAAGGTGCTTAATGCATCAGCAGCAGATTTGCTCACATTGATTATGCAAACGTGGCTTAGAGGGTAGTGAGCTTTCTATGCACAGACGTGTGATTTGGCTTGGAGCAGGACGCGCATTCTTTGATAATGGAACTCTATAATACTCTGCACTGAAGGACTGTGAGACTGTATCAGTCTGAGGGTTTAATCTGCTGACCGTGGCCATAGCAACAAGACTGATGTCACTGTCCATGGAAAGGATAAAGAGCAGTAACTGTCACCTTCAGGGCTACGTCTCCACCCTCCTCTCCCAGATCACTGCTCTCTTGCAAAAGCCCAACATCAGGACAATCTCAACTGAGTGTGGAAAGACACTTATTCTAGGAATGGATTTTGAGGGTAGTTTCAAATAAAGGAAGAATATATCTAAGCTCACCCTAACCTGACTCCAAAGCCAGCAAGGATGTGGGCGGAAAAATCATATGCACGAACACAACCACCATGTTTCAAAAAAATTAAAATCTCTTACCTTTCTCTCCAACTTCGCCTGCCAATCCTGGCTGCCCTGGAATTCCAGGAGGACCCTGATTACCTGGTGGTCCTGGCTGACATTCCACAATTCCATCTGAAATTGTAAAAATTATAGGATCATGGCTAGGTAGTTTTATCCTCTCTTAATTCAGTTCAATCTCTATTATAGAACCAAAACAGTTTAGGCTGTTTGGTAAGTAAAGAAATCCACCTTTAGTTTGCCTCAAAATAATAAGGTATCACTTTGCAAAAAGAGAGCCAGCACATCCAGTGTCACCTGCTCACCATCCCAAGCAATCTCGGCTAACATTTCTGTTTCACAAATTCTAAAGCACTCTTCAGTTCATTAGCCCTGTCCTATATATCATTTCATTTTCATCTTGCAAAGTACATACCATCAACCTTATTTAATAGATTAAGAATCTGAGGCTCAAAAAAGTTAAGTAGTTAAGTGATTTGTCCATGGTCATGGCTCTGTTATGTTGAAGCTGAGACTAGAATGACTCTATTCCTAAGCAAATTTACAGCAAAGGAATCAGTATTTTAGAGATGCAGACTGTCCCTGGGGAAATGCCTCTAACTGTGCACATTCAATCTGAGCATCATTTACGGAAACAGGCATGAAAACAAATATCAGTACTACCAACACCATCTGTCATGGCTTCTAGTTAAAAAAAAAAAAGTATTGTTTTATAGTTAGGAGAGCCACTGCAATAGTTTGTATTTCTTTAATATCTTTGAAGAAAAATGGCGGTGTGAGCAATTTAACATGCACATTTCTGCCAAGCCTTTCGTCATGAGCACAGTCCTAACACCTGTGAGCTAGCGCGGAAGACTTCCTCACACCTTACACGATGAGGACCGTGGCAGTCACCTGCAGGAGGAGGACACATGGTCTGGGAGGGGTGTCCTCCCTCTGGTTGGGTGTGTTAACCAGGGTCAGCCTTTCCAGCTCCCCACCCAGCTAGAACAAGAACACCTGAAACAAGCAAGAGCTTCCCAGTTTTATGAGTTGGTTTATAGCGTAGCTGAAAAAGTTAGTCTCCAATGTGTAGGAACGGACATCGGGGAGAAAGCGTTCTTGCTTAGTTCGTTGCTCATTTTTTTTCTGTGAGCTTCTCCTGACATAGCACAGGAGGTGACAAAGCCTGAGCTGGTGACAACTGTCTGCTGTGGCAGCCATAGCTACAGACCCGGCCTGTTGTCTCCCATACTGGTTGGCCTCCTGTTGACACTCCATCCATGCACAACAGAGACCATCCATCTTGGACAAAGGGGACTCCATTTTCACGCTTCCAAAAGCGGTCCCTAAATCACTTAACCATAAAGAACTCGCATTTCCCAGCCCTGCAAGCCTAGGGTGTATCAATTCCCTGATTCTGGGAATGTAGGTTCCTGAACATGGAAAGACATAACATTATTATGTTCCTTTTCCAGAACATACCTCCTGCATGCCTCATCTCAACTATAATCCCTTCATGTCCCTGGTAAAAAAGCAATTATACATCCTCACCAAAGTCAACCTAAAATAAGTTTAAATTTGAAGCAAGAGTGTAGTGATTATTGCTGAGGGGTTCTGAAATGCAGGTCTAGAGCCTGCATTTCACAGCATCTGCTCACTGCAGACACCTGCAGCCGTGGATAGCTGAGAGCCAGGTGTCAGCATTCAGAATGGGGACACAGCAGCAGAATCGGGACATGGAAATCTCCACATTGCATGGTTAAAGGGCTATGGATAGGTCTCAAGGTAGCAATAGTTTTAAGATGTAGCCTCTTTAACATACACTATAAATCTAAATAAAAATCTCATTTGTAAATTATCACTTAATACTCTGTGATTAGGAATTAATTTGCACTGACTAAAAAGGGCAACCTGGAAAATTGGGATGGTAGACGTTAAATGTGTTCAGTTAACACATGCTACTCACTTAACAATAATGGAGAGTTCGCACTTTTAGGTAAAATGTGTCCAAATTTCCAAATACCCAAAAAATCCAAAAGAGTGTTCTTCTCCCATATTTCCCCACAGGTGGCTCCCTCACCACCTCCATGTCTTTGCTGATCACGACCCCCCTCCCCACCCCAGAACTCCCGCTTAGCTCATCCTCTGTGCTTGTCACCTCCCGCATGTCACAGAAGCTGCTTATCACCCGTGCTCGGGAGGACGGGGTAGTGTGTGAGTTCTGTGTCTGCTCTAGAACAGTGCCCGCTTCCCCGTGGGCACTTCCTCCCTGTGGAGCGAACCAGGACCCGAAGGCCCCTCTGACACTCACAACCTTCTCTAGGACACAGAGAGGAGAAAGGACTTTAGACTGAGTGTCTCCTGGACTTCAATGTTTCATCTTCATTTTCCACATTTCACAAAATGACGAGAGAGGACAAGGAAGTTCTGTAAAGTCACAGAGCATCTGTCCATTTCCCACCCAAATTCCTGCCAATCCTTTCCCAGTGAAGTTGTCGATATGGAATCGATTGTCCTATCCAGTCCTTATCTGGCCTCCATATCCATGAAAACTCCCTTTCATAAAGATGTGTTGGAATTCTAGCAAATACACCCCACTGGCACTTAAAACCTGTGAATGCTTCTTTAACCAACCCCACAGAGGATCGGCATTTAGGTGGTCCGTGGAGGACACATCGGTTCTGATCGGGCAGGTCCTGAAGGCCTGCTTTGGAAATGTGAACACACTCTCATTGGACCAGTTGACTTAATGTCTGAAATCTTCTTATAGTTTGCTCTGGTGTTATGTTGGGATCACAGGACCACCTTAAGTGAACCAAGAGTTTAGTGTTAGGCACTCAGCTTTTATGGAGGGCTGAAATAAGAAAATTCCAGGTGACATGCTGCTCAGGTTTGAAGTCATTCATTATGTTACCACACACACTTATGCGATCTGTGCCCATGAAATCCCTTCTTCCTTATTTGAATGTGCGTGCGTGTGTGTGTGTGTGTGTGTGTGTGGTTAGTAGTAGTTTGTATCTCTAGACAAAGTAGGGTGTGTTCTGATCTCGATAAGAACTGTACAACTCAACCAGTTTGCTTTTTAACTTCAAAGCTGGTTAACAAGTTACTTATTCCTTTAAACCGGTTTTTCTTTTAAACGTTAACTATGCCTTTTTGTAATGTGGTTAATTTTGTGAAGATACCCAAGTGGAATACAAATAGCTGACCAATGACTGGACGTCCGAGCCACTGTGAGGAGCGGTCCCAGTGACACATGAGCCCGCCCCGAGGGAACTCACTTGTGTAGCCCGGCTGCCCAGGGGGCCCAGGGGGTCCAGGAGGGCCTGGGGTCCCATCCCTTCCACTTGGTCCTGGCAAGGAAACTCCTGGAAATCCTTGGTCGCCTTTTTCTCCTCTTTCACCAGGGAAGCCGGGAGCACCAACCTGCCCCGGTACAGGGAAGCCTGGAACCAGCACAAAATCTCATGTAAATAATCTCCAGGCAGGGGACATTCACAGCACAACTAATTTTCTTAACTCTGTCCAAGGCGAAATGAGTAGCAGACATCACCGAGAGGGGAACTGCTCTAGACAAGTAAACACAAGTCCAGTCGGCAGGCTTCCGACCACATCAGTGCCCACAGCCAAACGTTTCCTACAAATTAACTCTAAGGAGAAGGGACTCGTTAGCGAGACACTAAAATCTGTGAGTTCCTCTCACTGCAAGTAGCATTCCCCACGTATGAATGAAGAGGCTGTGGAGGGCGTGTTCCATTTCCACTTGGAGAATAAGGACGTGAAAATGTCATTAGACAAAGCAATCGGGGACATAAAGCAAATGGGTGCTGACTGGGTTGAGGGTCTAGAGGAAATGGCAGAAAAGCAAAGGTAAGGGCACATAAGATGCCTGTGAAAGGGTCTGAAGTCACAGGAGCGGGTGACACGTGAAGAGACCAGACAGCATGAGCTGTGACAGCTGAGGAGGCTTTAGAAGCGATGCTCGAGAGGATGAAGGTTGGGGGCCACACTGCTCCAGGGAGGACAGAGCCAGCGTTGGTGTGACAAGGGAGAGCCTGAGAAGCAGGACAGACGAGGGAGGTGGGACAAGGCAACGGAGGGTGAGCAAGCCCACAGCACAGCGTGTTGATGGTGGCAGACATTCAGTGTCCTGACTGGCGGTGAGTGAGCAGAGGAAGCCTCTGACTGCAGGAGATGGGACAGCTCCCAGGAGGGAGGCCAGCCAAGGAGGAGCCGAGGAGGCAGGGACCCGGCGGCCGTGTGCGAGGACCGAGGACTGAGGACTGGCTTAGGGCGGCTGGCGTGACACAGGGCGAGCCCATGCACCCTCCAGCCAGAGCTATCCTGGGACATAGTTTTCAACATTGTGGGTTAAGAGTGTGGTGTGGATAAATGGTCACAGAAAGTAAACATGGCACACGCTAAGGGAACACGTAAAGTGACTTGTCCCCTGGAATCAAAGAGAAGAGAGTGGCTGAGAAAAGGGATGGTTTTAATGGGAGATCCAAAAGTTTTCTTAGAAAGAAGAAAAAGTAGGAGCAGATGAAGGCCCTGCCTGGAGCCAGGTGTGGGGTGTCGCCTGTTCCCACAAAAAGGAAAAAAAGAGGCTCTGGGAAAACTCTGAACTGTGAGAAAGGAAAACAATAAAATAATAAGCAAAAAGGATTAAAAAACAAAATTATATTTAAAAAATCAAAAACAAAGCACGAAGCTTAAGGGCCATGAGCAGTCGGTTGTGTCTCAATGCTGGGGCCCTTGAGAGCTTCCATCAGACATACCGGGTCTGCTCTCGGGCCCGGGAGAACGCCATGTGTGCACGCACACGCGTGCAGACACACCTGGGTGTGTGCAGACACATGCATGCCACTCCTAGCCCTGGAAGACGCGATGGACTAGGAGGTGCAAACTAGCACACAGGAAGCGGTGCTGCTGATGCCGGGGAAAAGCAAAACCACAGGTGACCAGAGCAGGTGGCAGGGGTGCCGTCCTAGAGGCTCAAGGTGAGAAACGTTCCAGAGAGAGGGGATGTGGGATAGAGACACTGAGGGGAAAGAATCTGCCTGTGCTGGAATCGGGGACCTGTGGAAAGACTGGACGCTTTCCAAGGGAGAGCAGGTCAGTCCTGATGAGAGCTGAGGGCCCATGCCCGGCGCACATGTTTATTAATGACGTGCTACTCTGTAACTTATAAAATGCAAAACACTTATCAAGGAGCACATTTTGCTTTCACAACTAGAAAATGTGTAAATAATATTGCTAGCAAGTTTATGAAAATGTCTGATGTACATAATAAACATATTCAGAATGGAAGCCACAGAGAAGGTGTACGAATATTCTACCATAAAATCAGTTACGGGTTCTCACCTGGAGGGCCTGGTGGGCCTGGTCTTCCTGCGAAACCTTGAAAGAGAAAGAAAGGAGGACAAACTGAGAGCAGTGCGCTCGGTTCCATAACACTCACTCGACACTGCTCTGCTAAGTGTCTTGCTTGCTGTGCCCACATGTACCCACGCTCAAGGGGAACGTGGAAAACAGAACTGGAAACCTTTGGAGCATCCTCTGTGGACATGCCATGTGCCTGGAGCTACAGTAAAGGGCTCCAGGGTACCCCCGGAAACAACAAAGCATGAACTTGGGGAAGACCCGGTCACCAGACAGTCCTGCGAGGCGTGCAGATGGTCTCAAGACACAGGTAAGTGCAGGTCAACGCAGGAAAGGAAAAAGAGAAAGGGTGCGGGGGGAAGGGAGGGACACAGCCAGGAAAGCTACCTTTTGGGCCCGGCTCTCCTCTTAACCCTGGAGTTCCTGGGTAGCCCCGTTCTCCTTTCTCTCCCAAAGGGCCTGTGCCTATAACCTGAATTAAAGAAGAAAAGACGGTCATCACGTGGCAGAGGCGTGGCGGGGGTGTGGCTGGTCCTGTGTGGCACAGCGCTGTGGGTGAAGGAATTAACATGCGTTTATTATCTCAAGAAATATGATAGTAAAGAAGTAGCAGCAGAAGACAGGAGGGCGTCTCGAACACACATGGAATAAACACTGCGCAGTGACCTCTTTGCAGAGGGCTCTGCAGGCAGCTTGGTGTCCGCTTGTGATCATCTACCTGGCAACTGCTTTCGTCACACTCTAATGATGCAAAGTTGGAATGACATCAATTTGAGGTTTTGGTTTGGAATTTCTAAACACACATACATGCACAAAATGAATAATGTACTTCACAGGGTATTATCAGAAGGACGGCTTTAAATTTCCTCAGCTGTAAGCACAGGAACACTCAATTTTTTTTATTGAAAAAGGTTTTTTGTTGTTATTGTTTAAATGACCTAAAGTGGGCACTTCTTTAAGGCCACAGGGACACAGGCCAAGAAAAAGGCGTTATTGGCCTCATTTAAAAGGAAAAAACTCATTCACCCTGATTATAAATTATTGAAATTCAAGGAAAACGGCAAATTCAAGCATTGCATGTTATCTTTAAAATATAACTCCATTGTATCAATTATATGAATGGTTACTATTGAAATTTCTTTGTTACATATCTTGATCCCCCACTCCACAGTGTACATCAAAATAATGTGCTGTCCACCATAAATATATACAACATTTACTTGTCAGTTAAAAACAAACAAAGCAAACAACTTTAATATAAAGAAAAACAAACAAATAGAATGTGCTGGTGAGGTCAAGGTAAAAACAGGACACTGCAACGCAACAGTGGATCACAAACACGGGATCATAAATACACGCGGAAGTATTAAAGCATTAAGGAGGCTATGAGATGATCCTATTTCTGGAAGCGTAGCCTAAGGAGGACTTGTCCGATCCCACACTCTCCCCACCAGAAAAATGGCATCTACAAAAGTTCGCCGCATCTCACCTGTGGGCCTGCAACAGCTGCAGCAAACCAGGGATATTTTCATCATTTCAAAGAAGATTTGGGGGAAAATGGCTAAAACAATTATGCTACAACACTCTGACAGGATACTGAAAATGATCATTACAAAGGTAATTTGCAATCATGAAGAATGTCCATTTTTTTAAAAAAGTGTTAGGTATATCAATCGCAAGTATGCAAAAATATGCATATGGACCAGGAGCAAGATGTTATTTGCAAAAATAGAAATTGTTTTGCTAGAATAGTCAAATCATACATGAACTGTTTCTCTTACTGAAATTCTCCTTAATGCACTATTTTTTTGAAAAAAAAATGGTTTCTTTTTTGGGGTAGCTGGCTGGTATGGGGATCCTAACCCGTGACCTTGGGGTTACAAGGCTGTGCTCTAACCAAGAGAGCTAACAAGCCAGCCTCTTATAAGAGAGGTTTCAAAGTGTGTTGCTGATATTCTTATCTCCCTGTGCAAACCTTTTCATTTTCAGTCCTTTAAGAATATGGAGAAACTATCAAAGTGTAATAAAAATAGTAAACTCCATGCAATATGAATTATAAAATTATTTCAAACAGCATGCACACACTTAATGTAAAAATGCGGTCCTAGGGACTGTCACGGAGCTGGGCTTTATGTACCCGTCTGTCTCTTTCCCCCTTCTCTTCATTTCAAACACCCCCAATACTCCAACACACAGAACTTTTACTCACACTTCCAGGTGGGCCCGGAGGACCTGCTTCTCCTTTTTCACCCTACGAAAGAGCAAATGACTTTTACTTGCATATTTTTACCATAAATATGGTCTTGCAGACCAACTTTTTTTTCTGGTAAAATAGAGGTCTGCTTCGTATCTCTCCTTGTAAGTAGCTTAAGTGCTCTGTGACTGTTAAACAAAAACAAATACATTTCATTTTGCTTTTCATAAACATGACATCTGGAAATAAAGATTTCTATAAAACATACATTGGAAGCTCATTACTCACATTACAAAAGAGCTCACAATATTGTTCTCCTGACCACAATCTCCCTCAGACAACTTTAATAGAATCATTGGTAGGCTGAATTAGTAAACAGTGGTTTTCAATAAAATTTTTAAAAATGAAATAAAATAATATAAAAACGTGATTAATTTCCAATTATTTTTTCTTAACGAAATCATTTTATATGAGGTGTTTAGGTGATGATTGTCTTAAATTTCCATTGGAAGACATAATATACAGTGTTGAAAACACTGAAAACATTAGTGAATAAATCCTGATTACTTTGAGGCTTAATGCAATCCATATCAGATTTTTAAAAAAAAAGAAATTAACCCTTTTATATCTATGTTCTTATATATATATATCATCATCGTAATTTAGAAAGTCCTAAGATATGCAAATTATGCCATGAATGTACCTTTTTCATTTTATATTAAAGCATTAAACTAGAAATGAATGTTTTCATTTTCCTTACATGAATAAAGAAGAGACTTTAGAAATATCTACAGGACTTATAAAATACCTACTATATTCTAAATATATGTACCATTTAAAAATGTACAGAGTTTTACATATAAAACTACAGTAAAACATTTCTTTCTCCTGTCCCTGGCTTGAATAAAAAGAAAAAACCTTGAAGCCCTCTCCCTAGTTTTTCCTTCACCATTAATGACAAATATTTCAAAATTATTTATTTTAGTAGAGCTTTACATTTCCTAGTCTTATGATTAAAAGAGATAAATGAAGCAACAGTGAGTTTTTCTGCCTATCCGATTGACAAATATTTTGGGGGGGTTTTTTGTTTGTTTGTTTTTCTTTTGTCTTTTTCGTGACCGGTAAGGGAATCGCAACCCTTGGCTTGATGTCGCCCGCACCTCGCTCAGCCAGTGAGCGCACCGGCCATTCCTGTATAGGATCCAAACCCGCGGCGGGAGCGTCGCTGCGCTCCCAGCGCTGCACTCTCCCGAGTGCGCCACGGGGCCGGCCCTTGACAAATATTTTTGAAAGTTTGATAATACCCAGTTGCCAAACGAGAGGGCCCTGAGCTGGCAAAGAACTTTTCTGGGAGCAATGTGGTGGCGTGTGAAAAAAGCTTCATAAAAAGAGTCTGAATGGGGACTTAAAAATTGTACTTTTAGGAGTTTATGACTGGGAAATGATTAGACAAATGACAAAAATACTTGTAATCATAAAAATTTGAAAATGACCTAAATACCATGTAATAAAAGACACAGATGTTAAAAATGTTCATATGTACAACTACCTTTATGGACATTGAAATAGATCCTCCTTATATCTAAGTGAAAAAGCAAGATATAGTATTCAATACCATTTTTTTTTAAGTATATGCCTGTGTGTGCACACAGGACCAACCTTCACTCTGACCGTTTCTGAGTGGGTAGTAGAAATGTTAGATAACTTTCTTTTCTTCATTATATCTTTCTGCATTTTCTGTTGTTTTTTCATCAGAAAAAAAACTAGTCTACTACAAAAAAAGGCACAAAACTTGAATGAGTGTAATATTTTGTATTTTTTTCTTTAAAACACTCATACACATAAAGAGAACCACTAAATTAAGTGGTATTTTTACACAAATGGAGCATAAATAACTTTTTTCTTTGAGTCCAGAGTCCTTTATTCTAGAAAAAAAATGAACAAACTTCTAGGTTGAACTACAAAATGAAGGTAAAAACTCAAAACAGTGTAACGAGTTACCTGAGGGCCCTGACGGCCTGGGAGCCCCGGGTATCCTGAGTCACCAGGAAAACCCTATAATGAAAGACAGAGAGCAGCAAGTCAGCAGCTAGTGACGGCGTGGGGTGACTGCTTCTAAAAATTGCAGAGAAAAATACTTACTGGACTCCCTTTTTCTCCTTTTTCACCATCTTTTCCAGGTTTTCCCTGTACAGTAAAGACTTAAACGTTAGCATCTCATAAATAATATTTATGGCAGAACACCAATGCTCTGATTCTAATACAAGTTAATATAGCGTCTCTTTTATGAAACGACAGCAGGGTGAGTGAGGGCTGAATGTGAGCTGACAAGGCTACGACAGTAAGTCATGTACTGTACGGTGAACAGCGTGAAAAAGTTAGGATGAAAGGGAACGTCTCGATTTTTAAAGACGGGAGTCTGATGAGCTACACATCTAAGGTATCATCCCATTTTGGTAACAGCTAACACTGAGTTTTCCCATCAGCTGGTGATTATGGGGTGGCTGATAGACAAACGATTTATTTTAATGGGGGTTTCTGCATGTTATTTCAGGTGGAAACCGAAGGGCTCGGGCCGCAGGCAGCTGGGTAGGTTTCCTGCCACCACTACTCCTGAAGTTCACGTTCATCTCGGCATCTCGGGGTGGCTGCGCGTCCAGCCTGGTGTTGTTGGGGACCTCAGAGCCACCCACCGGTGGACGGCGCCTCACCAGCCACCTTCCCCCACCTTCGGTGCGGCACGGGGTCCCTGAACAGCGAGGCCTACGCCTTCCCCAGAGACCGTTCAAGTGCGGGGAGCTCACAAAGACTTCAGAAAGGCCTTCGGGAGATGAAAGGGATGAACGACAAAACCCTATGAGCCTTTCTCATCCTTGTGTTTCTGTGAACCTGAGATCTTAGCAACAACGGGACAATTATGTCACAAGGAGGAACAAGCGGACTTTGGGAAACACTCACCCGGGGACCCGGCTTTCCCGGTTCACCTTTCTCTCCGACCCCTGGCATTCCCTTAAAGGAACAAAAAGAGGAAGCGTTAGGTTCGTTAGTAAACTTAAGTAAACTATTAAATCGGGTAAATCTTAAATTTCAGGTGAAATAAGCTTGTGACTTAAATCCAGTATTTTATAATCTTTCACAAAAAAATAATGATGATAGATAGGAATTATGTATTTACCTGAAATCCAGGTTCACCTTTTTGACCCTAGAAGAGTTTAAAGAGAGAGACAGAGAGATCAGGACTATCTAATGGCTATATCCACTTTTATATGCCACATAAAAGGAAAAAGAACGCTCTCTCTGGTATTAACAAGCTCACAGTGGCCTCCCGGGCTCACTTCCCAGCAGTGACTGGGTCATGGGCTTGAGAAGGGCAGAGCTCACTTTGCTGGATCCACAGCAGATGACCCCAACCTCCTCCTGCCCCAGCTGTCTCCCTCCTGCCACCAGCTCCTCCCTGACTCTGGGTGCATCGAAGAAGCCCTCGCTCAGTGAGACGGCTCCGCACGGGTCTTGGGCCGACGCGTGTCCAGCTGCCTCTGCTCTCAGGGGTGCTTGCATGTCATAAAATGGAGAGCCCGTCAATCTGTTTTTCAGGTCAGTATTGAATGTAACTGGAAATTCTGAATTTTGACCCAGTTTCTCATTGTCTCTTGAAATTCGTATCTTGAAATTAGAAGACAGCATTCCTTCTCTAATTCTTTCTAATTCTATCGCTGGATGAAATCCATTCATACCTTTTCTCCCTTGGTGGCATAGTCTCCTTTTTCTTGAATTTGAGCTTGTCCTGGTACTCCTGGAGGCCCACTGACTCCTTGGTCACCCTGTTTATGCAAAAATTGAGGATGAATTAGGTATAAAAATAATTAAGCAGAGAAGAAAAAACGCAGAGGGGGGGAAAGCCTAAAACAAAGCACCTAATTTTAAAATGTAATCATGCTTTATTCATTTCTGGTCCATCTTTGCCTCAGCAGAAAATTAAGTTTCAGTAGGAAGATGGTATGACAGGTAACTAAAGGCAGGAGGAGACTCTCACTTCCCAGGGGCCAGGAATGCTGGCTGCTACCATCTTGGGTAATAGCAATGCAATCTGGACACAGAAGGACGCATCCACACATGGATCTGCACACAGAGTGCACTACCGCATTTTGATGGCCCAGGGGAAATGCACACACACTGCCTAACAGAGCTTGGGAAGAGAGGAGGTGTTTTTACGTAAACCAAAAGTAAAACCATCGAGAATCTCCTTCCTCAGGCATCCTAACTGCTGGGTACTCTTGGAAGTAAAGTGAAATCTATTCACGGCACAATGAGTGAGGTTTAAAATATCAACTGCGTAAATTTCAGAGTCACTTTATTGTGAGGTTTATGGAAAAAATGGGCCAAAAATTGGGGTGGAAAACAGAGACCCACTGGAGAGTCTGGATCTGTCCTGGCCCCACTGCATGTGGCACCCCCTGCACGCGACCACCGACATCAGCGTGAGCATCGGTGACGAGGAATCCAGGACTTCACAGCGTCTGCAGCAGTCCCCTCTTAGCTCGTGCCCCGTGTCCTCCGTCTGACCCAGGGAAGCTGCCGCAGGGAACAGCAGAGGCCCAGGGACCCACCGTCTGCCTCCCTCTTCCCACGCTGGAGCAGCCCGCTCCACTCTGTGCCCTCCCTGCTCCCACTTGAGAAGAGAGGCTGGTGGGCAGGGGACAGGAGTCGAGCCACCTGGCAATCGTGTTCCATCCTAGTTTATCAGTGCAGCGTTAACTAGAGCTGCGCTACCAACAGTCAAGTCCTAAACGCTCCTCTTTTATAATAGACTCTAGGTCTGGCTTTTATCACTGAGGAAGAACATCTTGACTGAAGTCTGTGTACCGATAACTGTACCCTCTGCTTGTCAGACCACACGGAGAGCTCCTATTCAAGGAGGTGGGATGAAGCCAGTAACTCTAGCATGTCAAGGAAAACATGTTGTCAAACTCAGGAACATGATGCAGAGAAGGGTCACTATGAACATAAAGTTGGTCCAGAGGCGGAAATTCTGTCGTGTTTAGAACTGTGAGTTCAAACACGAAAACACTCCACTGAAGTGTACTCACCTTGTCCCCTTTCGGTCCTTGAAAACTTAAGCCCATTTGCCCCTGTTGATTAAAAGTTAGGTTTTTATTGTTAGAGCTGTCGACTCCGCTCAGCCGTCCCACAACCCACATAAAATGCTAGAAGATGGTGCATCTCACCACATGTTCTCACTCATAACTGGCTGCTAGGAAGGAAAGAAGGGAAGGAAGGAGGGAAGAAAGAAAGAAAAGACCTCAACAGTACACTGAACTCTCAGGAGGGGAGAGCAAACCTAAGGACACTAGAGATGGGGGGCAGGGAGGCAGGGGGTTGGGAAGCAATAGGTCGGGCGAGGTGCATAAAGAAATATCGTGATTTGTAAGAATGAATAAGTTAATAATAAATTTAAAGAATTTTTTTAAAAGTTAAATAAAATAATAAGTCATGATTTTAAATATATATATATGTTGCATTTTTGCAACCCCTGCATGAACAGGCGTTATTATTGCACATTGTCCAACTGATTCACTTGTTCATTCAACTAAATTTAACAAACAACCAAAAATAAAAAAGATGGTGAATTTCAAGTAATAGCTTTGTCCCACAACTACCAAAAAATTTTCAAGATCATTATGATCATGCTGTGTTCAACAAAAGTTCTATA